TTGCATGCATTTTTAGGTGTCAGTCAGCAAATTTCATTTGAACAATGGGAAAGAAAATGCTCCCTTGGGTAAGAGTGACATAAAAATGTGATTCTGCAGCTCCTGCACTAAAATATTGACTACAGATATGACTGACTTGGAAGAGTATTTATTTCAATAAGCTGTGGCAATAACTCCACTGTTTTCCACGTTTCTCTTCTTTGCTGGCAAACTTTTTTCCACTTTATGAGGTTAAAAAAAAGGAGGGTTAGGCTTACAAAACCTTACCAAATATATCTGAGCCTCAAATGTAGCCTTTTCAGCTCTTTCTTTCAGCTGTATTATACTAAGGAAACATATTTTTATCTCTTACTAGCAGTTCTCTAAAATGTCTGATTTGGCAGTATGCAGATTAAAGAGGGGAAAAAAAAATATATTCCAGGTAGTATGGTATTGTGTGCAGCAAAACTAAGTGTAAGTGAAATTCTCTTTCAGTTCCTTCAACTGTATCCTCATCAGCACAGCTCTACTGGAGTCATTTAATTTCCCATGGATATTCTCTGTCCTTTAGAAGTTCCTCTGAACCTTTATTTTTTTTGTGGTATGGATATATCTGGTATGACAATCATGTCTGCTTAGGCAAGGCAGGCGAGAACTCTTTCTGCCCCATGCTATTCTAGCTCAAATTTAAAATTTTAACAGTAATTTTGAATTCCTTTTCCTGTGTACCTCCCCCTGTCCCTTTCTTGGAGTTCACTCATACTTTTGAATAAAAGATTAAGCCTTTAAGTTCAGCTGCTCTGGTGAGGTCTGTTAGCACTTACTCCTAAAACACATTTTACAGTTGCCATAAAGAATCCTACACAGAGCTTCAGAAATGTCTGAAAGGTCTCTCACTCTGTTAGTCAGTAATGTGCTGCCAGCAACTCCTGCTGTGTGTTCCATGTGCTGTTCTTACATAACCAACTGGGAGCTTTTTAATCAATCAAGGTCTGAAAAGAACCAAATTCTTTTGTGTGAAGGAAGAATGATTGAGGATACAAATGATATCAAAGACTACATTTAAAAAAATGCATTTTAAAATTTCCACTTCAACCTTACACCAGGTAGAATAATTGGACATTAAAATAAATGCACTTTAAAATGCAGTTCAGTTATATTATTACATCCTTTCAATAGCTTTACATAAACCTCCTTCCTAATTATGGTATTTTAAAGATTTTTGAAGTATTTGTGATGCAGGCCAAGATGGTAGGAAGCATCTGGGTTGGAGGAAGTATTATTGAGGAAAATAATCTAATGAACAGACAAGTTATGAAGTCCATCTGTGCACAGACTATGCATCCATATAATCTCTCACCCCAGAAGACACAAAATGTATGTTTTATCATAACATGCATTGCAAAATCCTGACAGTTAATTCTTCATATTACACCAGGCTTGATATTCCTTATTGGATGTCTCTCATTAACTGATGTAGAAAAACAGACTTTGAGTTAATTCAAAGCATCTTTTCACAGCATCTTTAAGAAAAAATGTTTTGGTGGATTTGGAGCCAGATTATGTAACTGTTAAGAGAAGCTCTTAAGTTTTCACACAGTAGAGAGGGAATTTGAAAAGAAAATGGGAACTCTTTTCTCTCTGATTTATAGCGGTTGAGACTGGAGAGAAATAGTTCCTAAAGAACATCACTGCATCAAACAATCTGTAAGTACGAAATAGAAGAGGTATGAGAAAGGGAAAGTCTGATGACAGATTGAGAATCTTGTTTTATAAAATAGCTGCAGAGAGCTTGAGAGCTTTAAAGAGTGCCAGTGAGGGGGCAGAAGAGAAGTGTGTGCACATCTTAGGAGAAAATTACTGAGCTTTAATCTCAAACATATTAACCTCAAGTCTTTGTTGTGAGGTAGCTTGGTCTTGGTTTTTGGAAATATTGAGCTCTCTCACATTTGTGTGAACAGAAGAAATAGTGCAGAGGTGGAGGGGAGAGGAAAAAGTTATATGAGTTTTACAGGCATAATATATATATATCTGTGAATTGCAATCTTTTTTAAAGAAACAGGCGTTGAGATCATTACGGCAAAATCATTAGTATGATCTCCCAAGAAGCTCAGGAAGAGCATGGCTATCCTGTCAGTCTCTGAAGCACATGAAATGAATACCACTACTTACATGCTTCCCTGAGTCCTAAAACAATGCCCAGCTGTTCTATCAATGAAAATTCTTTGGGGTCCAGTTGTTGTGTCAGTCCAGGTTCAGAGAGAGGAAGCAGGGGACTCTGCATGACACGGATTTATGAACTGGGGAGCACAGGTGCACTACACCCTCTGGCAGAATGGTCCCTGTCTTTACCCCATTGCACTGACACCCATCTCCCTCAGTCAGGCTTGGCTGCACCCAGACCAAAGCAGGACTACCTGAGCTGTGTGCAGTGGGGCTGTAGCCAAACAAACTTCACACTCGATTTCACTGGAAGGGAATATTGAATGGAAACACAAAGAGGATATTACCCCCTTTATATTTATTTATACATTTGCAAGACGAGTACCAGAGTTATAGGCTACCCACTTTTTAAGGACGATGAGACTTTATTTAAAAAATGAGAAAGAGAAGCTCAAAGTTTAGCTGTGACTCAATCATGGAGCACTGGTTGTGGTCACTGAGGAATGACTTTTATTATAGTAGGCAGCTCTTCAATCTGTTGGATACAACAGAAGCCAGTCTCTGGAAGCCAAGAGTACAAGTAAAATTTGCAAGGTGCAAATTCTAACCAGGTAATCATTTACTGAACAGCACATCCATAGAGGTGGTAGATGCTCTCTTGCAGTCACTTATGACCAAGGTTGAATGCCTTTGAGATAGTGTCAGTCAAAAACTTGGATTTGATGCAGAAGTTGATGGTGAGACTTAGAGGAGGTCAGGCCATGTGGCAATTGTCCCTTCTAATCTTAATTCCCTCGAGTTTGAGGCACATCTTAATACTGCTACACTGCCTGTCCAGCTGTCAAGAAATGTTCAGCTAGTCTAGAAAAACATTCTGAAAGGCTGTTGCTCAAATGTGACCTGTTTGTATTTAGGCAAAATACAGTTTGGGGGATTCAGTACTAACTAGACATCATAATCAGGATGTGACCCTGTAGTATCACTTAGTTCACACAGCAAAACAGCCCTGGGTATTAAGAGTTATTCAGGAGAAACAGAAAGGAATTTTAAAGGAATTATAATAATTGAGGTTTTTTAAATACAGCTCTAGAATTAATTAAGAAACTAATGATAATGACCACAGATACCAGTCATCTCTGAAAGAAGTAAAAAATGGTAGTCTGCAGAATTAACACGATGCCTTTTGTAGATTCTTTTTAATCAAAATACTCATATTGAGAAAACTACTCAATAAACGTGATGAGCAAATATTTAACCTTTAGGTTTAGTTTGTGTTCACATTCCAAACAAATATAGTTAGAGATGCTTAAACATTTGTAAGTGCTGAACATATGCATACAGAATAATTATATTTAACATTGGGAAATTCACAAAACACTTTCCACATGTGTTATGTCCTTTTATATTAAAGTTTTCTAAATGTTATGTTGAATAGTATATTAAATTCCATCTTCTTTCTAAGGTACCTGAAGTGGTAGCTTTAGAAGGTATTTTTCTCAGCTGTAATAACTCCTTGCATTTAAATATATTGTTGGTATTTCCAAATATCCTATTACCTTGCATTTTTTAGTAAAGCAACAGATGAAGGTTTTAATAAACCCTATGATTAAGCAAGGTTTTTATTGCAGCTACCCTTTTGCATTTCAGATTGTCAATTTGTTGCTACTGTGATTTCCCCTTTGTACAGAATTACCTTAGTTCAACAGGAATCATGCAAGTCAGTGATTAACAAGAGATTGGCTAACATAGTTCACTGCATTGTGCAATTTTGATATTGCACCTCTTTTCACCAATGGGGAAAAAAATAAAAAGGAAGGTTTCTAACCCCACTTTTTTGTCTGAACTCTCCATTTTTTCATCTGAAGTCTCCATAGGGTCTCAGCGCTTGGAGCCTTTTCACCTGGGCAGGGAGTTTTGGTTCACTGTCCTAGTGAGCAGTGCCCTGGCTGGTGCCTGCAGGGCTGGCGAGCATCACTCCCAGGGTGTGAGCGAGGCCTCCGCAGGCAGCCAGGCTAGGAATGGGCTGGGAACGGGGAGCACCAGCTGGCCTTTGCTTCTCGCTGCCCTTGAGGCCCCCGCAGGGAGATGTCGGGTCCTGCACCTCCTCCCTCCGCTTTGGCGCTCCCAGGAGCACGTGGAAGGACACCCGCGTTCACTTGTGCTTCCCATGGAGGGTGGCAGAGCCCAACAGCTGCCCAGGGAGGGCCTGGGGTCTCCCTCTCTGGAGACATTTCAAACCCACCTGGGCGCGTTCCTGTGTCACCTGCGCCGGGTGACCCTGCCTTGGCAGGGGGTGGGACAGGGTCATCTCCAGAGCTCCTTCCAACCAGAGCGATTCTGTGACTCTGAAACAGGATGCTGAGCCCGGCCACCCGGAGATGCAGGAGATTTGTGTAAAAAACATCAAAAAGAGGGATTTCACTTGGGAACCGTCCCATTTAACAAACGATAGGATTCGTTACACGCTCTTTCTCCAGTGTGGGAGCCTTTAGCATTCTTTCACAGCTCACAGCCCGCACCCATTGCCAGTGCCAGCCTGACACCTGCCGGCGGCCGAGCGGTCTCGGGGGGACTGAGGAGAACCGGCCCGGCTCTGTGTTTGGGAGTAGACCGGAGCCGAGAGGCCGCGGGAGCGGCAGAAGGAGCGGCGAGAGTGCCTGGGGAGCGGTGGGGCCGATTCGGGGCCGATTCGGGAGCGGCGGGGGCGATTCGGGCCCGGGCCCGGGCCGGGGAGAGCGCGGCCGGCGCCGCCAGGGGGCGCAGCGGGCGGAGCGCGCGCGGCCGGTCCCTGCCGGCGGCCGTAGGAGGCGGGGCCGCGGCGGGTGAGGGGCCGGGCTGCCATGGTGGCGGGGCGGGCGTGAGGGCCGCGGGGCAGGGCGAGGGTCACGGGCAGCCATGGCGGCGGGCAGCGCTATCCAGATCCCTACCCGGCTGCCGCTGCTGCTCACACACGAGAGCGTGCTGCTGCCCGGCTCCACCATGCGCACCAGCGTGGACTCTCCGCGCAACATGCAGCTGGTGCGCAGCCGGCTGCTGAAGGGCACTTCGCTGCGGAGCACCATCATCGGCGTGATCCCCAACACCAGCGACCCCACCTCCGACTGCGACGACCTGCCCAACCTGCACAGGTGCGGCTCGGCCCGGCTCTCCCTGCCACCTTCGCGGCCTGCGGCTCCCCCGGATCCCGGCCCGGCCTCCTCTGCCGGGGCTCGCTGTGGGGTCACCTCACGGGGCCGCCCGGCTCCGCCGCCCCGGGAAACGCCTCTGCCCTCCGAGAAGCCTCCTCGCACCGCCGGCCCAGCGGGCAAGGTGCCGGCACGGGCTGGCCGGAGGGAAAGTTTGAATAGAGGCTGAGGTGGGCGAGCGAAATATGACGAAAGAACGCAAATCTAGGGCTGTCGCAGCTGTTAACCATAGCATTTTTCACCTAATAGGGAACACGGATATTGGCTTCGTTCACATAAAAGAAAAACAAATTGTATTTCTTTGTGGTGAAACTAACATGCTGTAACCTTTACTCTCCGAACTTTGTTGTATCAGTGGACGTGGTTAGATGTTGCAAGAAAGTAACTTCTCTTGTAAATTGTTTAAGTAGGTAAGGTGATGGAAAACTGGTTCAGTACCGGACCGGGAATTTAAGTGAAGAACCGTCATTTACGAACACTCCTATTTCCCAGTGCATATTACTTAAGCAGAAACGTCAGTGTGCCTGTCCACAGCCAAATTCATTATTATGAAGAAGTTACATATGTTTCTAAATTGCACGACTGTATTACAGTGCCTTACTTAGTTTTTCAGTTAACTTGTTCAGGTTTTAAGGTTTGGTTTTGTAACCTGTGTTACAAAGGGAATTGGATAATTTTATTTCATTTCATAATAGGAACTATGTCCCAGCAGGTTCATCAGAAGCTTGGTTGCTTCAGATAAGGAGCACACAAAATGTTCTGTGGAAGGTGGCATAATACAAGGATTTGGTCTGTTTTTAGGATTGGCACTGCTGCCCTGGCAGTTCAGGTGGTTGGTAGCAACTGGCCCAAGCCCCATTACACATTGCTGGTGACAGGCCTCTGCAGATTCCAGGTCCTGCAGCTGCTGAAGGAGAAGCCCTATCCCATTGCTGAAGTGCAGCAGTTAGATCGACTTGAGCAGTTCACTAATGGCCATAAATCTGAGGAGGAGCTTGGAGAGCTGTCAGAACAATTCTACAAGTATGCAGTACAGGTAATTAATTTGTTTTATTTTTGTGTGTCACATAACCTGTAGGTTCACTTAGGCTTTTTATTTGTTTTCTATCTGCCCTTCTGTTTCTTCAGTTCCTATATCTTTCAGCGATGAGTAGAGTTTCAGTATTTCTGCTGCAAAATAAACGTTACTGTTACATCTTGAGTTTCTGTGCAAAGTTCCAGGATGTCTACACAGCTCATTGCAGCTGAGTCTTGTGTAACTGCTTGTGTTGGTGCTATGATAAGTAGGTATTTTATATATAGCACTACTATAAATACATTCTAGTAAAAGATTTGATTAATTTTTCTAGAATTTTACAGAGATGTAAGAAAATACATACAATAGAAGTATAATGAATTGGAATTTAAAGGATGTATCGAAAAAGAGTCATGGGGAAGTTTCTAACTAGGGTATGTGGGGGAAATAGGAGATGTATGTATTGAAAAAAATGCTGCAAACAATAATGATACTTTTGAACTTCTCAAACAAGCAGAAAGCTCAAGGTCTTGGTGCTCCATGCTGAGTTAGTGCCTCGTCTGCAAACTTTTGGTGAACTTATTGCAGTAGATTTTTGGCAAACTACCTAGACATGCTGCACACTGAAAGACACAATCCTGTTTAGGTCAGAGAGCCACTGAGATAATTCCAAAAGAAAGCCAGTGGCCATTAAGCATTGTTCCTTGTGTGTTGTAGCTGGTTGAGATGCTGGATATGTCAGTGCCTGCAGTCGCAAAGCTCCGGCGTCTCCTGGACAATCTGCCCAGAGAAGCTCTGCCAGATATCCTGACCTCTATCATCCGAACAACCAACCAAGAGAAGCTGCAGGTATCATGTTCTTCAGAGGTTTTAATGGTAGTTAGGTATTGCTGTCTTTTTTAAGTCAGTCACTTTTAGGTAATTTTGGAATTGCTTTCACTTGTGACTGTATAGTGATAACATCATGCCAGCAGAGATTTGTGTCACAACTGAGTGTGAATGCTTGCAAAATGGTTTGATGGTGTTGTTTAAAGTGTTTATATATGCATATGGCAGAACTCACCTAAGGTAAATAGATCTGTTTGGATCTATGTGAGAAATCTTAGAAATGGTTCAATTTATTAAACAATAAGTAGAGCATGGACTTAACATAGTAAAGATGATAAATCTTCCTTCAGATTGTGTTGAAATTTTGCTTACTTATCCCAGCTGACTGATCATTATGCATACCTTAATACAAGTAACTTCAGAATTAAAATTGTTTTAATATTAGAATTAAATATTTTTTAAAACATCTTGAAGTCTGGGTTTCTTTAAACACTAAGTGGTTAAATTTCTGTCATATGTCGAAGTAAATCTATGCAAAAATGATCTTTATGGCTTGGTGCTTATTTGTCTGATTTCTGTATTTGCTTGCTGTGTTGCTTATGCTGCACCTGGAATTGAAAGTGTGTTAGGTTCTTTCAAAGCACCACAAGTAGAAATTAATGCAGTAATTTGAAGGAAAGCTGTGTACTGTAGCTGAATATCATGCTGGAGGAAGGTACATTAGTTATTAGTGCATCACTTTCTTTTTTATTAGAAGCTCTAAAGAAAAGAGCAGCTGGTGGAAGCTATGAAAGTACAGAAGAGCAGAAGTCTACCCATTTCCACATATTAACTTCACTTAATATGAAAGTGGAGTTGTGTGCAAAATATTAAAAAGACAAAATAAACAAAAAATCTCTGAACAAAAACTTTAAGGCACAAGGTGAATTTTTTTCCCCCTGGGTTATGCAAGGAGATGGTGCTGTGACTTTCTTAATGGGGCCATCTCTTTCCTGAGGCCCAGTAATTAAAAAACAGGACATTGATAGATGTTTGTCACAGAAAATGCAACTGAAATATTAAGATATTTTTAAGCCAGACTGGATAAGATAATTTTATCTAGTTTGAAATGCTTTGTAGTTCAGGCATCCAGACCCTTGAGGCTAGATTTTGTGTACTGTATTCTCCTTGCTTTTCTTACTGCCTGTTTTCCTAAATCCATCTATTCTATACCTCTGGTCAAAAGACAGTAGCAGTACCTCCATGTTCCCCCAGAGTGAGGATTCGTTGGTGTGAACTTGGCTGCTTACAACTCCTTGCTCTTAGATTTTAGATGCTGTTAGGCTGGAGGAACGGTTCAAGATGACCATACCATTGCTTGTTAGACAGATTGAAGGCCTGAAGCTACTTCAGAAAACAAGAAAGTCCAAACAGGATGATGATAAAAGGGTATGGAGCTTTAAATTTGGAATATTTAAAAATGTAAATAAGTACTAAGATGCACTTTTTAAGCAGGCTAATGAATGCATGATTTTAATCTGTGCTTTTTTAATGTATGGCCATAGTGTGAGATCATAGTCTGGAGCTGCAGAGAACACCTAGCTGGAAACTTGGGCTGTGTAGATACACAAAAGACAAAATATTTGTTTAAAACAGCCTAGGCTTTATTTTAATTTTTTTTAAATTGAATTTTTATTTTAATCTGAGCACTTTGTGACATTAAATGAATGCTCAGATTCCTCTGAAGAGTCAATTCATGTGCAGTGTATACACACATTGTATTCTGGCCTGTGCAGTGAAAGGTATATCTTTTACTGATGACATTGCAGAGGAGTGGCACCTTTTGAACTACAGATAAAAAATGGGTGTTGGAAATGGAGCTTGTTCACTTTTGCTTCATCTATCTGCACTTACATAGTTTAGTAACTGGAAGTCGCTGAGAAATTAAAAAAGATGAGAGATTTACCCATTTTGTAAAGAGTAAGTTTATTCTGCTTAATATGATGCAGTGCTTGAAATATCACAAATAGCTCCTTTCAGTTTTGTTTTTGTTTTGTGTTGTTTGCTAGTTTAGGATATATGATAAACTCACTAAGGAAATATATGAAGAACTGTAACTCTTTAAAGTAACACAAATAACACTTTTTGAAGTTAATTTCTGAGTTAAAACTTTCTGGAGTTCTGAATTTTTCTGTGAATTTTTATGTTTTTTGCCATGATTTTCATTCAAAACCAAATTACACAGCTTATTTAAAAACCAAGACCTGGTGCAATTTTGTGGCTGTTTCCATTGCACAGGTTGTAGCTATTCGTCCTAATAGAAAATTCAGTCATGGGAGCATTACAGAAGATGAAGAGGAAGAAGAAGATCATGATGATGTTGTCATGCTAGAAAAAAAGATTAGAACATCCAGTATGTCAGAACAAGCTCTTAAAGTTTGTCTTAAAGAAATAAAAAGGTAGGAGGCTTTTAAATGGTGGTTTCTTTTGCATTTTAAAACAAATCTTGCAGACCTTTTCCTGTATGGTATATGTTCATGTTGGTTGTGTTTTTGAAATGGTTTTAAACCTCAGGTAGCAATCACTGCCTTCCAGTGCAGTAGAGGCTTCCTTTGCATTTAATTTCTGGTTGGCCTTTTGAATTCTGTACTTACATTTCCAGATTAAAAAAGATGCCTCAGTCAATGCCAGAATATGCTTTGACAAGAAATTACTTGGAACTGATGGTAGAATTGCCATGGAACAAGAGTACGAAAGGTAAACCCTTCTCCTTGATTCTCTTGTACAAACATTTTAGGAAAAGTAGCTACCATGTAAACACTGTGAATTAGTTCTGTCTTGTAAAATCAATGTTGATAAATTACTGCAAGCCAGGTTAACCATTAGACTCTCAGTGAGAGCTGTACACTGAATAGCCTGTGTAGCTCAGTTATAAATCTAAGAATATGGATTTAAAAAGTATTAAGTATAGTTTTGTTAACAAATGAAGGTGTTATTAATTACAGTTTGTGCCAGTATTTATCAAAAATAATAAAGAAATGAGCATCTAATTATTTTTTGTATGTCAGACAAAAAGCTCTTTGGGAGATTTCTGTAACATTGGCCTTTCTGAAGAAGGTTCTGGTTTATCTTAAGCAAGTTTGATAAGAAACAAAAGGATTAAAAAGCACAGTTATATTTAATTTTATTAACTATAACTTGGGGTGCAGTAGAAGAACTGCACTGAGTCTGTGTCTGCTTCGTACCATGGTTTTTGGAGTTGTGAGTAGAGGGTGATGCTGTTAATACAGATACAGTGTGCAAAAATGGAGAGTGAGGGAAGAGTAGGAAACCAAACATGACCAACAGACATCTCCTACTGACCAGCACAAGTAGACTAAGTGGGAAAAATTCATTTGCACAAGGTGGACTTAGCACACCTGCATATCCATCTCTACCCTTCTGCTGGTATTTCTAGTGAGGAATTGTTGCTGGTTGGAAATAGAGCTGTTTACAGATCTTCTAGTAAATATTTTCTTTAATCATTAAATTGTAAAAAAATCTGCCTACATGGTAGTACTTTGCGGTATTATTCAAAGACTCCTCAAATGACTAAAATGTTTGTTGACAGTCATGTCCTAGCAGAATGTTTTTTGGTGGAAGTTGCTCTTTGATCTTTTAAAATTATGCTGTGTCATGTGAAGTTTGGTGGTTTTACTTTAAGCAAAGTTTGTGAGTGTGACCCATGTGATTGCTATCTTGAACTCTGTAGCTACAATGAATAAAAACACACATGCATACAGAATTAGAAAATCATTATAGAAAATCATGATAATTTTAGCCTTGGATGGTTATTATCAGTACTGTGTCATTTTCAGTACTATAATCTGTCTACCTTAGGTCTAATTTCCTTATTAAAGAAGAACTTTAATACCTTTGCTTTAGAAAATCATTGTCTGAAAAATGTGTGTGAGTTGGGGGATTTCCCTGATGAAGATATCTGTTTCTACTGTAGGATGAATTGTTTCCATTTTTAAGGTAAATGTGCTGATCTCTGTGCTGTTGTCGATGCCAGATCGCCTGGAAATCCGTGCAGCTCGGATTGTTTTGGATAATGACCATTATGCCATGGAGAAGTTGAAGAAGAGAGTTTTGGAGTACTTGGCTGTCCGACAGCTTAAAAACAACCTCAAGGGACCCATTCTTTGTTTTGTGGGGCCCCCAGGAGTTGGTAAAACCAGTGTTGGAAGATCAATTGCAAAGACTTTGGGTCGAGAATTCCACAGAATTGCTTTAGGAGGAGTCTGTGATCAGTCTGATATTCGAGGCCACAGGTAATGCTTCTTTCCCTAGCTGCAGTTTTTTCTCTGCAGAATGTATTGATTATTTTTACTGTTCAGCCAATACAGAGAAATTTTGCTTATATGAAACAATGGTAGGTATTTATTGATTTTCCTTGGTATTCAGTGGTGTTACTTGGGAGAGAATTTTAATGGGAATTGGTGTTTATTGTTGTGGTACAGCCTTTATTCTTTCCTTCTGCTACTGCCCTTTATTGTCATAGGGAATGGATTTCATCTTCAGTTATTTTAGCACTTTGAAGTAAAATTCTGTAGGAAGTTTAATGCAAACTCTTGATTTTTCTGCTTTTTAGGAGGGATGTAAAGATTTAATTATCCAGTATAACCTATGGTAACAATGCATTCCTTCATAACCTTGTTTGCTGCTAAAAGACAAGGAGAAAACTGGAGTGATACATGAAAGTGGCTAGAGGATAGCAATGCCCTGTTTTCCTTTTTCAAAAGGAGATATATGCAAGAACACCTAAGCTGGCAGGTTTCAAAGGAGATTTTTTGGATTACATTCCTTAGGACTGTTTAGATGTTGGGTTCGTTATGTATCTTCTGCTTAGTCTTTTAAGTTTGTATTAGTCCATTCCTGAATCCTTGTAACTGGAAGCATAATAAACGGACAATAGAGATAGGTAACTGCCAAGCATCAGTGCAGCATTTTTGTTTCCATTACACATACTTTATGCTTATGGCATGCACTGTAGGAAATCTGGAATAATGAATTTTAGTCACGTTTTCTTTTAAGTCATGTATTGAATAAAAATTCTCCTTACAACAGTAGGTGAATACTGTGAATTAAAGCTATCAGTTATATTTTTGATGCCATCTAGGAGTTAATTTTTCACAGTGCTATTCAGCTACTCTCAGTAGAATACACCTAAAGTAGAGTGTCCTAAAAACAACTTCAAATGTGACTCAACATGTGCTATTCGAATTGAAGCCGCTAGAGGCTGTGGAATACTCAGCATTATGGAAAGAAACTTTTCCAGAGCAGAGCAGGACTCGAATCTTTTGTAACAGGGAAACCACATCTTGAACTTGACATTATAAACAAAAGTCAAACTTCCTATCTTGTGCTTGAACCTCGTAAAGAGTAAAGACAGGGGAGTGATATGAGAGAGCCTCATAAAGCTTTTTAGTTCAGGTGTTTGTGGCTGTCACACATTTTTGAGAGCATTAAGTTATGAATTCATGTTAGAGGCCAACCATTATAAATTTCATATTAAAAAGTGTATGAAATTAGGCAATGGGAAATATTTGCTAAGAGAGTTTATTTTTCACCAGCAAAGGAGAATGTAATCTAGAATTAGCAAGAATATTGTGTGGTTACTGTTCAACAAGTAAGTGTATAGTTTAAAAGTGAACTTTAGAGCAGTTGGTACTAGGAGTCCGTCGTAGCCAACTGCTTTTTCCAGTTTCTTGTAGCTAAAATTAAACCCACCTGTTGCATATGGATCTTAATTTCTACTTTGGCTTGTTTTCCTCCTTCTCAGAATAAGATTTAATCAGATTAGAACTACAACTTTTCTGTAGAGGTCTGTAATGTCCTTTTGTGTGAATAAATCCTTCAAGTTATTCCCAGTCAGATGAATCCATGTTGTGCATCTGGTGGCAGTCAGAGGGAGGTGGTCTAGAAGTGAAGACACAGACTGTTGTTTTCTGAGTTGAGCAAGCTAATTTCCTAATATTACACCTTAGAAAATACTGCTTTTCTTCTAAAAGCTCCTTATTAGGCTTTGGGGCTTGAGTTAAGGATTCCATTAACATTGCAGGAGAACAGTACTGTATGTGCCTACTGATGTGCTGAACATGTAAACGAATGTACCAAATGTACTTGAACATTCAAAAGGAACTGTTTCAGCTTGACTTGCAAGCAAACAGTGCCTGAAATAGCATTCACTTGGGCCACTTCGGTGAAAGGTGCAGACTAGAGATTCAGCAGAGCTCTTGGAGAGCAGCAGGGCAGGGCTTGGTGTTTCAGTAACTGTGCTGTCCCACCTGATGTGCAAATGTGACAATTGGAACTGCCCAGGTTTGGCCATTTCACTGGGGATCATGTGCCTGCACCTGGAGCTTGGGAATCCTTCACTGATTGAGTGTAGGGTAGCAAGTATTGTTCTGCATTCCCAAAACAAAATCATCCTCTTGGTACAAAACCAGAACTCCTTGATCAGATATCCTTCAGCTGTTGTCTGCATTTACAACTCATCTGTATGATATGTTAAAGTATACCGGTTTACATTTGTTTATACTTGTATTAAAAAAACCGAAAAAACCCCACAAACCACTTTGAAGGATGACTTACAACTTTTTCCAAGAAGCTCATCGCTTTTAAAATCTGCTCAGTATTGGTATTTTGTATCACACAGCACATGTATAATCATCTCTGTAGTGTTTTTCTATTTCCGAAAAGGAAAGATGTAATTGTGCCATTTATTTATAGCGGTGCTGTTGAGGTAAGTGTGAAGCTCTTCTTTTTCACCTTCATGTGAAGCACTCCTTCCTATATTCCACTGTTTTGCAGTTTCGAAAGCTTGAACAGTTCAATTCTGGCTTAGGCCTTTGCTAAAGAAGACTTGTTTAGGTGCACCTGTTTGAGGGGCTGTGGGATTCCTCACCAGGACAGCTGTGCTGGCAGAACTTCCCTGCACAGGCCTTGTTGCACCAGAAAAAAACAAACTGCAGACAGCTTCACCCATGAGAGGAATGAGCTTTGTTAGACAAATGCAAAGCAGAGATAGATTTGTGAGTGGACACAACCTCTGGCCTTGTGCAAAAAAGGTAAAAAAAAAGGCTGTGACCTTGTGCAAGGATGTTCAGGAACAGTGGTGTTAACTTTGTTATCCTTTTCTACCCCTGCAGTTAAAAAGATTTAAAACTGTTTGTCTTGAGATCACTGTGAAGTGAGTCCTCTTTCTTTCTTTCAATAATTCTACCACTGCTTTACAGGCTCTTTTTCCTAGGCTTTCCCAGTTTACCTTGGCTGAACCAAGAAGGCTGGATTTCCCAGCTGTTTTTCTTGCATTCTCTAGGATGCATAGTGCCTTATAACATACTGTACAACTCTAGTGTTTTGTTTAAAGGTACTTTTTCACTGATCTAAAACTACATAAAAAGATTACTAAGTTGCAGACCTTCTCTGCCTGGAGCTCTCTAGGGGTTGAGTTATTTAAGTATTGCTACACAAGTGAGATAAATAGGAAACTTGCTCTGTGCTTCCTGTTTCGGGTGGGGAGAACTGACTGTCCTCTGGGTTTAATGCAGGGAAAGGAACTGCATCAAAAAATGAGCAAAGCAATGTAGAATATTGTTTTAACTCTTTTCAACCCTAGCAAAAATAATGAAATCAACATCACATTCAGTGATAGTATTCCTAAACAGTAGCATTTAGTTTCACATCTTACAAGGCAAAGGTTAACAGTCAGACAGATAAATGGCCATACCTGCTTGTAATTTTAATATATTCTGTCTGGTTTTATATATAAATACCTGCAGGGCCTGTCTTACCAAGGATTCTTTTGTCAAGATGTGTTCCCTGATAACTTTGGAAATCTCAAGTATTTGATTATTAGTATAATAAAATAGGTATTGGTCCATCTCTAATAAATAAAGAGGTGCTACAGGTTTAGACTGTTGCATCTGCTTGCCTTAATTTAGTTTATGAACCAGCCTCTCTTAAAACTCAATGGAACATGGATAGCTCAAATCTTTGTAGGATTCAAAAGGACCAAGTAAAACTTTCTGTATCTAAAAACACAAACATGCTTTAAAAAAGTGTAATGTTTTTAAGCATGCACTTGAGAATAATATAGCAAGCAAGAACAAGGAATGTTTGATGTTTACCTAATTATGTTACCCTATTAGTAGCATAAGCAAAATACTGAAACTGGGCTGCATTGTCTCTGAAGCATGTAAAATTACTCTCTAGTGCAGTGAGCACCTTGTAGTAAAAACAACCCAGAGAAGATCAAAACTACCACCACCAAACAAAACCCAAAACCACAAAAAGAAAAAAAACCCAAACCCATAACTGAAAAAAACCCAAATCTCCCCCAAAACAAGAAATGCCTAAATTGCTACACTGATAAATATGTTTACACTGGTAAGTGATTCACTTCTGTGAACTCCAGCTCTGATTCAGTCTCCTCATTTTCTGATTGCATTTCATAGAATGCTTCCCTTGTATTGGCAAGGCTGTGGGTGTGCAGATGGAGGAGGAGGAGGCAGGTTGGCTGTGTAATAGCTCCCCATGCAGAGTCCTGATCTGTAATGAATGTTCCACAGTGCAGCCCTCTGTGAGAGCAATCCGCTCCCTTGCTGCAGATTAAGACTACACAAAAGCACTGAAGTGAGGAACTGTTGCCCGCTGGCTGATTCAGTCTTTAGCAGCTGCCTCAGGAAGGTGGTAACAGGCAAACTGAATTTCTCTTGCATTGCTGGCTGTTTAGAAGGTCTTAAAACCTTTTAATTTTTTTCTCAGATCTAGAATTAAATACATTTACTGCAATTTATTTCCTCAGTGGTAAAATGATACATGGAACTGACACCATTGCTGTGTGGTTTGGGTTCTGCTTTGGTTGTTTTTTGGGTATTTTTTATATATTTAAAGTCATGTCTAGTCATTTTTTAAATTAGTCCCGTAGTGTTTTTGGTTTCATCTTTGTAAATGTCATCATGTTTGTTTTGGACAGTGGTAAACCAGATCATATGGCAAAGCAGGCCTGTTCTGCTTGTCTGCTTTGTGAGGGTCATGAGCTAGAAACTGTAATTCAGCACTTAATGTATCTCTTTCTTCCTAGAATTTTATGCTCTTAATTATAGTATTTTGAGTAGTTATGGCACAAGCAGAAGAGAGTGGGATAAATGCAGCAAACAAGGGTTATATACATCTGTAAAATGTAGTTGTGCTCTGTGTGTGTTGTGGGAAAACGATTTTACTGATTTGCTGAATAAATTCAGACTTGTCATTTTTTGTTTCATTGCAGTGTTCAGCTTTTCATTTCATATTGAAATGACAGTAAATACGGTTATTTTTGGTGGGTGTTTATTAAAGCATGCTGTCATGGGGACATTGACAGTTCAGCATAACTGGAATTTTGCTCTTTTGTAACATGCTGTGTGAACTCTGTTATGATGACAAAATCCCAGCACTGTAATTATGAAAATGCTTTTATTAATGAAGTTCCCAAATCTGCTTCTGCTTATTCTTACAGTACAAGGATGATGGTCACTATAACATGTTAAAATATCCACAAGCTGTAAATTCTGGATACACTTTAATGTAAATGATCATCTTTGCAGACCAACTAGTTCACCATGGAACTCAAATTTTCATCTGCTGCTATAATTGCTTGTATTAGCTCAGTTGTATATTCCATGTTTTTATCAAGTATTCCACAAATTTTTGCAAAAAAACCCGAGAATTGTTGCAGTGCTCCTTGTTCTTCTATTTTGCCTGGAGTTTTATTTGTGATGTTTTTATGTTGCTCCTCCTGTTCCCAGTGTCACTGCCCTCTTTCCCCATCCCCTTCCAGGCGCACCTATGTGGGCAGCATGCCTGGCAGGATCATCAATGGCCTGAAGACTGTAGGGGTGAACAATCCTGTTTTCCTCTTGGATGAGGTGGATAAACTGGCAAAGAGCTTGCAGGGGGATCCTGCAGCAGCCTTGCTTGAGGTAAGAGATGTTAAACTGCAAGCATTGTTTTTCATTTGGATTTTAAAAGAATTAAACTGGACTCAAGATTTGTTGGACGAAAGAAGGCCTGACGGTGCTGGATCTGTTATTCAAATACCAGCTGCTGAGTTCTGACATGGGTGGGTTTCTGTCAATTCCTCAGGCACCATGCAGATGCTGTTACATAGTGGCTAAGTAACATATAAATCTCAGTGAGCTGTACTTGAGCACAAGGATAGATTTTGTGGTGTTTTCTGTATTTAAATAGTGTTCAAGCCCTAAACATCACTTATTTGGGGGACTTCAGGACATGGATTTTTAATGATCAAATGTTAACTGTAGAGGATCTAGACAGTAACTAGACTGCTTCAAGTTTTCCCTTTCTTTCTTGGAACCACTTTAATATATTTTTGAAGCTCTTGATGGTACCAGCTTGTATTGGAGCTAAGCAGTTTACCCAGTGCATAATACGGACTAGCTGTATGTTCTGTTAGGAGAATTCCTTTCATTAGTGTTGTAATTAACTGTCTGAACTTAGGTTTTTCATGTAAGTCACAGATTCCCACTCCTTGACTGATTATGGTGTGATGAGTATTTGGCTGATTATGGTATGATGAGTGTTAGCTTTCCATTAGTCAGGTTTTCCATGAGTGCATTTTTTCTGAACTTCTGATACTCAGGCTAAGATGTGAATGAATTTAGTTTTGAAGCACATAATACAGTTATTTAATCAAAAAGGTTTTAGAGTTGTCTAAGTTGATTTGCTTAAAAACACAAATAACATCCTGGAGATACAATTGAGGACTTCGGTGAATGAGATACTGTTGGAATAATTTGTAAATCCCATCAAGTGTTGAGATGTTATTAATTAGGTTAGTTGGGCTTTCAGGAGGCCAAAACTGGAGTGATCATGAAGAAGATGAATTGAGACCAGTGCCTTGCAAGCTTCATGTGTCATATAGCAGAGAGCAGTAAGGAGTTGTCAGAACCTTCTCAATTTCCATTTTCCTGGAGTGTGACATGATATCCCAGTACAATTCCTTCTTCCACTGATTTGTGCATATCCAGTGCTTTTATTCTAGCAGTTTGCTGGAGAGAGGGCGCACATCCTCAGATGTGGGGAAGAGACAAAGCATTGCTCTTCCCTGGGCAGATGGCTGGGTCCATCTTTCTGTGCCAGCACGGATGGCAAAGGGGCAGTGAGGGAGGGGATGGCACAGCAGGGCTGGGCCAGCCTGAAGTGTTGAGGCTGCCAGGGCAGATGCAGCACAATGCACGTGATGGTTTTAGTGCTGTGCATGCTTAGAGATTCCTTGTACTGCTGTAGTTTTACATTCCGCCTTCTCTTTTATGTTCTCTCTGGCCCTAGGGACTGCCATGCTCCCACTGTTGTAGCTGCACTGCTTCTGGCATGGTTCTGTACCTGTTTCGCTCAAAAGGAGAGGCATTAGTAAAAAATACCCACATTTTTTGAGCTAGCCTGGCTCACTTTCACAGAAGTGACTTAGGGCATAATCCTAGAAACATCTCAGTTGTCAGAGTTGTGGTAGCTTTGGTAGGTGGAGGTGAAAGTGGTTCTGATAGTATTTGCCTACAGAGTCGTTCTAATGACTCTTGACTGACAGTGCTTAATGCAGTGATTTAAATATGAAAAATATGCTACTTAAATTAAGGTGTCATGAGCTCATCTGGATGCTGTATGACATTCTGCAAATGAAGTGTCAATTGACTTTCTACAAATGTCATTATTTTCTTCCTGCTAGATAGTGGAAAATTACTGTTTTGACAAGGCCAACAAGTTCTTTGAAAATCAGTGTATGAACAGGCTGTGGTTTGAGAGCTCTGTTTTGATCTTTGCATGTTAACATGAACTAGTAGTAATTTAAATGTGCTAGAAAATAGCATGGCTTCACTTCTTTAGCTTTTAAAAATGACAGTTATGGTCCTTTACCTGTGCATTTCTCAAGTGTATAGTACATATTTCTGGGGTGCATGAAGGGCCTCAAAGTGCAAAGACAACAAGCAGGGGAGTGTAATAAATACATTATTCCTTGTACTATTCCTCTGGGGGATTTTATTTACACTTCGCTGAAAATGTAATGCTCTCTGTTTCTGAGTTTGCTGATACCTCTCCTGTCATTTGTCTTTTAGATACTTGAACTAGGCTGTCCTAATTCTAGTCAATGCATGGATAAAAATACCTGAAAATCAAATTTTTCTATTTAGCTGGTTGTTGTTTGCTATGCAGACACAATGATTTGAGATTTCTTGGAAGGAGTGTTCCAGTCATGAATGTAGATCTGTATATTCATATTGGTAATTTTATTCAACCTTTGCTGGGTTTTATAATTTTCTCTGTATTTTTGAGTTTTATAAAATTCCCAGTCCTGTAGTAGAGAACAATTGTATTTTTCTATTATGTCATTTGTGAGGGCAAATGAATTTAATTAATACTTGTTTAATTAGTTGTGTTTGAATCTGGGTACATCGTTGCTGCGTTGAGATGTTTCTGTTTTCCGTCTTTTAAAACCACATTCTCAGTGATACTCAGCTCTGCTTCTGCCATGGATTTTTCCAGCTGGGGCTCATAAGGTTCACATCCCACTGCCTGCCTGGGCTGCAGGGTTTATGTAAGCCCTGCTAATTGCCCATTAGTTGAATCTGGAAAAGTAATTGCCCTATTAACCATGGCTGGGCTGCTCCCCTGTGAGCTCTCTATATCTCTCTACTGCTGGCTAAACATCCTGAAGCAGGTGCTTTACCTCTTCTAAAGGACAGCTCATGGCTGGACATAATAGCTTCATTTTCATCTGCTTCTCATGGTTTATGTTGTTGGAAAGTCCATCTGGAGTGAGCAGAGGTGGCTGTTCTGCTGGAGAACAAACAGTAGTCAGTGGTCACCTAGTGGCTGCATTTGCTTTTGGTAAGACTGTTGCTTGTCTGGTAAGTGCCATCATTAGGTATGAAAGGCACATCCTTTATTCCTTAATGTGTAGGTGTGTTAAATTCTTGTTGTCCACAACAGGGCATGTTCAGGAAGAAAATTGCCATCCCTGTGAGCTTGGGGGCAAAGCTTGGTACTTTCTAATTGCTAGATACGTGCTTAATTCTAATGCTTCTGCAGAGCTGTTGCTTCAGAAGAGAGAATATCTTCCTATTTCCAGTTACTGTTCATTAACAAAGGAATATTTTAGTCTAAATTTAGATGACCTCTGTTAAAAACAGAAGAAAACAGAAATGGATCCAAGTGCCTGATAGTGACTATTTGTATGCAGGGAAATTAGACCAGGAGCATAGCCAGGCAATTAAATGTTCATGGAATTTATTCTGGATTTTGTGGTAGTAAAAAGCTGTTACAGAGAAGCCTTTGTATGCATGTGAGCTATCTGTCATAAATTAGCCAAGATATTTTGTGCACTGAATGTTCTTTTTGTACTTCATATTTCTGTATTAGTTGAATATCTTGGAATACTTTTGAGCTTGAACTTGAGCACAGATACCTAATTGAAGAACAGTTCTATTTGCTTTGGAAAATCTGTTTGAAATACACAGGCAGGACATTGGTTTGTATCTTATTCTAAAAAACAGTTACCATGACAAAGAATTGAGTCTGGAGGATGTCCTGCCCTTGTAAAAGATCTCAGATAATTCACATTTTTAGATATAATCTGAGCTGATTTGGATTATAGTTTCCTTTCTCTTTATTGGATAGTATTTTTTGTATGTGACTAGAGCATCAGTATTTTTGCATCTTTGTAAATAACATTCTAATCACCAGCTTGGCACTTAGCAGGGTTCTTAAGGATTTCTAGTTGCAGACTAGAAGGAGAAAGAAACATGCAAATAAATGTGTCAAAATGCCAATTTGGTCTGTCAGAATACATTGTTATTCAGTAGCTTTGGAATTACTTGCAAACACTTCAGCTGATAGACTGGAATTCTATGGAAATACTGTTACCAGTATAAAAAAAAGGAGTAAATTGAATTAGGATTAGCTGTTTCAAACAGTTTAGAATAATGTGCAAGACTAGACTTTGAGTGGGAGGCTAATATTTGGTATAGACCTGCTTGTTTTGAGGACAGTTTGTAGCTGCTGTGCTTGCATTCCCTGCCAGTTGTTGTGTTTCCCTATAGTTTAGGACTGGCCTGGGGGCCTGGCTGAGGTAAGGCACATTGGCTTGTCAGGATACTTCAAGGCCTTTGCTTTTGTTGGTAAAGAAGGGAGTAAATGACAGCAGCTGCCTGCTGGAGAGGGAAAGAAAAGCTTTTGAATAGCTTAGAGCCAGTGCACAATGGCATTCACTGAGTTCCAGCCCTGGGTTCAGAATTGAAGCATGTGCTTCAGTATGTTTTAAGATTTCACTTTTAATGGAAATGTGTAACTGCTTTTAAATCTGTGGAGTACTTGAAAATAAAATCTGAATTTATTCTGTTTTTTAGGAAAGTCAGCTGTGTTTCTGGCATTCTGTAGTAGGATTTTTCTAGTTTGTTCTGATCATAAATATTTTCAAAAGATTTTTCCACTTTTCAAAGTCTGAGGAGAATTTAAGAGTAATAGAAACTTAGAATTGTTTCTTTTATAACTATCAAAGAAGTCCTCAAATTCAGTTGTTTTTTAATTATCAACACTGTTCTTGGCTATAATTCAGGTTGTGTGCATTCATTTGGGTGTAGGCAGATAAATTATTTTGACAGTGGTGTGCTGTTTCTCGGGAGATGCATGGGTCCTATTATTTGTGGCATGAGAATTATTTGTGTTGGTGTAGCACTGATCATTCATCATTTGGGAAGGAAGAGTGTGGCTGTGCTTCAAGGGGCTGTGAAGCAAAGGTGGTTCACAGGTGATACAGAAGCCAGGAGTAAATTGATGTGTACAATGAACTTCCCATTTGTGCCACTGTTAAAAAATCTACAAAACAGCATCTCAGTACCCTCATGTTCCACATATGTATTTTTTATCACCTAATCTTAAATCTAGGCAAATGTTGCATTAGCACACATAAGTAGTACTATAAAAGTTATAGGAAGACAACATATTATTACAGCCCTAGTTCTACTTGTTCAGTTAATTTTTGAGGTTGGTCAGACTGTGTGTTTTTGTTCTGCAGTGCTTGTTCAATTTTGTCTCTGTTATTTTGGGGCAAAAAGAAAAATGATTGTGTTGGGAAGGCCAGGGCTTGCCAAGGGTCAAAGTGTGCCTGGGATGTCATGGACAATAAGAACTTGTACTCCTCCGTTAGTAATAAAGGCTGGACAAAGCAGAATGAGTGAGGCAGGTGATTTAGTGACAGTAGACAGTAAGCTGGGATTGTGTTCTTCCCCTTGGTCTCACAAGAGAGATCTCATGGGCTGGTGTGAGAGTATGATGTAAGCTTTGAGTAAGAAGAGCTGCAAGCAGCAGGTGAGGGTTGGAGTCAGGGATTTCCTGGGAGAGCTCTCCTTGTTCTGTGGGGCCACATGGGCTGCTTTTCCAAGGTTGCTGTGAGTCCTTGAAGGGCCACTCTACTGTGTGTGAAAGGTCATGGAGATGCAGCTTAGGGCAGGTGCTTGATGGCTGGAGAAATGCTGCAGCACCTCTAGAAAAGGGCAGGAACAACTCATGGAGAAGTGACTTCTTGTACATGTGATGTGACAAGTAGTCCAGACAAGGCCAGGATTTAGTGACATCCATAACATATTTTATTACTGTGAACTCAGATTTGACAGATCCAAATGGAATATAATAAAAATGTGTATATTTTATTTACTTCTGATCACACAATTGCATCACTTTTGTGTTCACTCTTATTAAGGTCTTGGATCCAGAACAAAATCACAGTTTCACCGATCACTACCTAAACGTAGCCTTTGACCTGTCCCAAGTGCTTTTCATAGCTACAGCCAACACTACAGCTACAATCCCACCCGCCCTGCTGGACAGAATGGAGGTTATCCAGGTGCCAGGTAACACTGCAGTCCCTTCATTACATGGCTATTGCAGGTCCTTAAGCAAGTTTGGGGTGTTTTTGTTGAAATGAAAGGCAGCTCGTTAAGGAAAGACTGCCAGGAATCTGGAGTCCTTAAAAGGGACAAGGCAGGATGCCTCTGCTGTGGCCTCTGTCACCAGAATGGTATTTAGCATTGCACTCAGGAAAATTCAGTTCCAGGTCTGTGGTGATACATGGATACATTTTGTAATGATATTTTCCTTCGCTGATTTGTTTGTATTCTAATGGTCTGTTGGCTGATGCATCTTTTTAAGATTCTGTTGGAGAAAGGGTTCTTTGAAACACCAAAATTCTGTTTTTGTTCACATGAAGTTATGAATAGCCACAAAGGATCATACCTTAACAGCCTTATAAATTATAGCTGGGGGAGGTTTTTTGTTAATTTCAATCAGGTAGAATTGTAAAATATAAGAGATTTGATTGTATTGTAGTGTCTAAGCAAAAAGATCATGAACAAATTGCATACTATTTTTTTTTTATTTGAAGGATACACACAAGAAGAAAAAATTGAAATTGCACATAGGCACTTGATTCCTAAACAGCTTGAACTACATGGTCTGACTCCACAGCAAATACAGATTCCCCAAGTAACCACTTTGGGCATAATTACCAGGTAAATCTGTTCATTGCTTTCAGTTTAAGTAACTTCTTTTATAAATATGTTTATAAAGTGGTAATAGAAAAACATTTTAATATGTATTGTCCTTAATAGCTTCAGCAGTTCAGCAGTTGGTGGTTTATGAAATTGCTCTTTTCTTAGTTCTTGTTTTCTCTAGAGAACATCCTTTTTGTAGAGAATTTTTTGCTCTTGCTCTCCAGGTGTGGCTCACCATCCCTTGTGCTGACACAATTGCCAAGGCCCTGTGAATAAACAGGAACACCTGAGGCTGGTGTGGCTGCTGCACTATGTGAAGCCATGGCCTTAGCAGCAGATAGCATGCAGTTTAAAGAGACAAGTTATATTGCTATCATTTTCATACAAAAAATGGAAATTACCCTTCTTTTTTTCCTTGTGACTTGATGGGTACATTTGTCTAGATTTGGAATTAGGTTTAAAAATTAAAATATGGGGTTTTTCAAATAGCTTCTATTCATTAGAACTGGGGCTTTTGTTAGACATGACAGCAAATGTATTGATCAGAACATCTTTTGAACTTGAAACTACCTCATTTCCAATGGAAAAAGTGTATTGGCATTCAATGAATTGAAGTATTTTATGACCAGTGTTTTGACTGTTTTGTGTAATGTTACTGCCTGGTGCTTCTTTGTAGTTCACAGACCAAAACAAAATATTCTTTTACAGCCAGTTTCTCAACTTCCAGTGAGCTATATATTTTAAGTTTTAAAATAGTTCTTCCTTTTAATTTTTAAGCATCCAAGAAGAACTCAGTGCTGTTGGACATTGCTTAGCATTTCACAAAGGTGTTAGTCATGTCTTCCCACTCAGTAATTTGTCTACAGTTTTATCAGCAGTGACAATTATTTTGATTAAAACAAAATATTTTTTCCTGTGTATTAGAGTAGTCCAAGGTTTTGGTACCTTTCCCATCCTATTTTACTTGGCTGTGTGTTCAGTAAGGAGTGGGTTTCTGTTGAAAGGGACTCTGTCTTGCAGAGCACAGCCCAGCACAGCTGTTGTCTCTCACAGGTACACGAGGGAGGCGGGAGTGCGGGCTCTGGATCGGAAGCTGGGAGCCATTTGCAGAGCAGTGGCTGTGAAAGTGGCAGAAGGGCAGCACAAAGAAGCAAAGCCAGATCGTGCTGAGGTGGGGGAAGGAGAAGGTGAGCATCTTTGGCATGTTTTGTTAAAAAAGAAATTTCTCATGTATTCACTTGCAAGCTAATTTAGTGACATTTTCTCCTGTTTTATTCTTCTTTAAGGACTCTGCGTTCAAAAGCATTGCAGATAGTGTTGACATTATTATGTACAGTTTTAGTGCTGAATTATGACTTAGGATATAAGTTGAGTAATTTCAGCCTGCTGAGTTGGTAATTGAGAAGTTCAGTGCATCTGTTTCATGTCTTAGTGATGCAGTTATGATTTGTGTATGTCTTCCTAAGGTTTTTAATGCAAATCCTTCACTTCTTCTCTTTAATAAAAAACTAAGTGTTGCTGTAGTTCCTAGTAGCTCAGAACTCAATCTGGTTATTTTGTTGTACTGCTTGAAGGGCTCTGATTCTTATGTGCCTTTTAAGACCAGGCTTATTCAGAGTCTCTTGGAGCTTTGGTAACTTCTCAGCCTCAGTCTGGTCTTGTTTCCCGTGTGTACAGACAGTGTTCTATCATTCCCAGTCATCAAACAGACTGAAAGAAAGCTAAACACAAAACTCTTGAGCAGCAAAATTACCCAGGTAACTGCTTCACCAGTAAAGGTAGGTCTCTTTCTAGTCTGGAAATAGGAGAAGGATGAAGTCAAGTGCATGATCCAGTTCACGTGCAGCACACAACAGGTCCCTTTTTCATCCTTTTTCATCCCCCCATGAGTGTTCTCTTTAACAAAAATGAACATCCACACTGTATTTGGTGAAAGATATGATGGAGGCTGTAGATGGCCCTGGCTTTTATTCCAGCCAGATGCTGATGGATGGTGTTGCTCTATTCAGCAATTTCCTGTTGGAGCTCTGCAGTGCTCATTGCAGCACTGGATGTCTGCAGGAGCCCTCAGTGTCAGGTAGATTAGGAATGTGAAAGGACAAACTGCAAACTTCAGATTGAACTTCTAAAATGTGGATAACCCTTAGTCTAACAAAATCTATTCAGCAGGGTGTTGTGTGTTCCGTTAGTTTGTTTTTTGAGGACTGAAATGAGTTCAGGTGACAAATTCTGCCAGTCTGTCAGAGAGCAACTGGGTGTCAGAGGATCCTGGAATCTGAAAACTGCAGAATGGCTGCTTGCTTTTCCTCCAGGTTACAGACTTAAAATACCAAACAGGGCCCTGTTGGTTTGATGTTCTGAAATATTCCACAATGTAGTTGATGTGGAAAAAACCTTTAGGAATAGGTCTGGTCTGGATTGGAGGAGGACAAATGAAGGGATTCATTGTCTGTTCCTTTAAAACCAGGCAGCAAACAAGTTTCAACAGTGCCCACCCCTTTCAGAGAGTAAATCCCAGGGGAGGAAATATAAGGGATATTTTTACAAGCAGTGGTAATAATTAGAAGGGTGCTTGAAGAAGTTTTACCCACAGTAAAAACTTACATAATATGTCTTTGAGAATCTTGTTTCTTAACAGTCTTTCAGCTCTACCTTGCCTTTTTTCCCTAGTTCAGTATTTCCCTTCTGAAAATTAAATCTTCTTTTACCTTGCTGAGTTTTCTAAGATCACCATAATATCTGTGAAAACTGTAGTATCAGAAGGTTGAATTTGGCAGTGTTTGCTTAAGCAGGCTCACCTTGGTTTTCTCTGAACATTTGGCTTAAAGGCAGTGGGCTTTCAGTAGTGGTGACTGTTCTGTGAACAATCCTGCAAATCAAATCATTCCATCTACATTAAAAGGCAGCGGTTTTAAGGCATATTTATCAATGCTTTCCTTTTATATTATGTGTGTGTTCTCTGCTTTCTGTGCTCTGATGGTCTTTGTGAAATCAAACACTGGCTTGTTGATGCTTCTGTGCTCTCTTCATCAGTGTGACTGCTGAGCCTTTGGGCTGTGCTGGCCCAGCTTACCAGGGCCAGGCAGTGTCAAGTGTCCTGGCTGCTGCACCTTTTGGATGGTAACTTGGACAAGTCATATTTTCAAAGTTGTTAGCTTTGTTTAAAATGTGTTTCAGAGGTCTAATGAAATTGCTGGATAAAAAGAGATGTCATTCTGCTCTTCAAGCATTCTGGTAAACTAGACAAGAGGTAGGTTCAGAGCACAACTCATGGTACTGTGAGAAGAAACACTTTATTATTGAGGCAGGTACAAAAAAGAGCTGTATTAGACATCTCAATTCAGTGAGAGAGTTATTTACCATGTTAAAATTAGCGCTGTGCTTGCAGCTGAAGTATTTACACTGTTAAAATTATACACTGTTAAAATTAGTTCTGGACTTGCAACGTACCAAAGCTAAGTGAAAATAACATCCCAAGTGCTTCAAAAGTGGGCAAAATGCTGGCTTTTTTGGTTGACCCAGTTTGGAGTTAAGAAATAAATGAGCTGTGAAGAGTTGCCTTTGTACTTCTGAAGTGAAAACTGTCCATAAGAAAAAGCTGTATTAATAAAAGGGAGTCTGAGGGACAGGTGTCTCTGCAGTGAAACTTTGCTGTTATAAAGACTTGTACAGAATGATGTCATCTGCAAAGTGGGTTTTATTTTGTACTAATACTGTGCTTACACTCTGGTCTGTTTTTACAGTGTCATTTGCTGGGAATGTATGCGAGTAGGAGCCTTTTAAAAAATATTTTTATTTTCATTCTGTCTGTTGGAAACAACTAAATGTTCAAAACAAAGCTTGTAAATATCTCCAGCTACTTGCAAGTTGATGCAACTAATAGGATTTGCAGCCTAAATTGATTTCTTTGGCATTTTTTCTTCTGTTGATTAGTGGACATTTGTGCAGTTGTGCATCATGATGAATTTTTATTTCATATAATGAATGACTCTGGAAGATTAGTTAATCAAGTTGTCATCCCTTAATAGTTTTAATTATTTCTTGATTTTTTTTTCTTTATCTCTATAAAAACAAGTAGTTTTAGCTTCCCGCATTTGTGTGTTGCTGATGTGAGACTGAGGCTGTGCAGTGAGTGCATTGATATGCCTTGAGTTGTGACTAGGAGAGGGCAGGCTGCAGGCTTGCCTTGCTTGCTAAGACATTATTTGTGCCTGATCCAGAGCACAGCCAAATCCTACCGTGGTACCTGTTGTGTTTATTCAGCTGACAGCCTCTGGCTGGTGGGTTGTAGTATGAGTTAAGGACACTAGGTGGTAGAATCACAGGCTTTCCACCATTACACTGATTAAATCAGATTATTCACTCCAGGGAGAGCACCTGTTTTCAAGGCTTTGTAAAGATGAGGCTTTTGCCAGTGTTTGGCAGTGGGCTCTGGGAAGGGAGGCTCCTAGAAGGGCTGGAGACACTCTCTCAGGCTGGGTTCAGCACTTCTCAGAAATGCACAGGCAGCTTTTAGTACCCTCCTTGCTCCTCTGACTCCTGAGCTTTCTGGAAAAGTTGGTGAGTGCAGGAGTGTTGGTTTGTGTCAGTTGTTGAGTTGCACAGAGAACTTCAGCATTTTTCAGAGCTCTCTGGGGAGTCATCCCTGTGTACAGCAATGCTATCTGATATTTCACTGAAACACTCTAAGATTTATGAGACACTCTTTGAGTCTTTTGACACTACAAGAAATTCTAGGAGTCACAAAAATATGTGAAACTCTCCTTCCTATTTTAGTGCAACTGCCTTGAGAATACAGTGCAGCAGCTGTGCACTAAGGCTTCATATCATGATACAGCAGTTGAAATCCAGAGTGAAAAACAATTTGTCTAATTCAGACCTGAAGGGAGATTTAGGGCAGGTAATATTTCATAACTGAAAGTGATGAAATGGGGATTGTATTTATGCTGAGACCAAGGTTTTGAACATACTTAAATATTTCCATAACACAGCAATACAGAGCAGTTTGTTCTACTCCTTGTGGATGAAACACTTGGGTTTAAATTAAATGCAAGTGCAACCAAAGTGGTCAGTGTGAACTGATGCATGAAATGTGCTGAGCATCAGTCACAGGGTGGTGTGACTGCAGGTGCTTGGGTCTGAGCTCATCTCTGCTGACCTTAGAGAGCTTCCCAGCTCTGAAGGCTGCAGTGTGGGCCTTTTTCTGAAATTTCTGAAAATTGCTTGGAATGACTTCTCTGTAGGAGGTCAAAAAAGCATAAATGTTCTGAAAAGTTTGGCTTGAATGCAAATTAATTTTTAAAGTGTTATTTTTTCCATGTTAATTTATCTAAATATTCCTGCATGAACACCTCACATTCAAGTGCTTCAAGTACACATTGTTATTGTAGGTCACAAATGATGGAATGTCAGTGTCATGTGGAAGGTAAACTTTTCTGATGCTGTGGGGAGAAATGTGCTAAAAGTAGCATTAAGTTTAAGTATATTAGTAAGTGTAAACAGGATTAAGATCTCAGGAAATTGTTCCCTTCCTAAAGAAACACTTCGTAAAAGTTGGGTGCATAAGATTTAAGTTTGACAGTGGCATGTTGCTTTTAGAGTGCAGTTTTGTGTTATGGCTAGCTTTGAATGTGAACTGATGTCAGCAAAAGCAATCCCATCCTTTTCTACCTAAATGCAGTTTTGGGGTTTTTTTTTTAGTTTGGAGAGGCTAAAAGAATTTTGAGTCTGTCTGTTGTATGCTGAAGGGTCTGCTGCTAAGTCAGAGAAAGAAAGAAAGAATGTTTTTTTCCCTTTAATTGCCCATAGACTTAAAACCTTGTCCATCAGGCTGATGCTTTTTTTTTATATCTCTTTGTAGCAATTCAGCAAATCAGAATGTGTTATGGTAAAAACTGCTTAAAAATGTTAGACTTCTATTTTTCTATCTTGGTCAGTAAGTATGGCTAGAAATGTTTGGGTTTAAGACTTGTGTTGCTAGTGCTTAATATAAATCTGTTTTATGAGGAGATGAGAAATTGCTACATGTTGAGGAAGTCTTAGACTTTTGTATTCTCTCATTTCCATTACATTTGTAGAAGGTAGCAGTCATTTTTTTAAACTTTTGTGCCATGAAATGTCTATTAAGATTAAATCTTTAATTATATTTAATAGTTTACTGTCAGTATGTTTTCTTAGGAGTCCATTTTCTTACAAATCCATTATTTACATGTGAGACTTGGTTTTATTTTGGGAACTTGCAAAGACAGATTCCTGAAGAGCATTGTGATCTTTGAGTAGCTGCAGATTCTGCTTGGAAAATTTTACAAACGTAATCTTTTTTTGGTTGGTTGTTTTTTGAACTTATTTTTGGTTACTTGGGCAGGTCTAGGTGTTGTTTTTTATTTTTAGTATTACAATTTTTAAATGTTCAAACAACTCAATACCACGCTGCTTTTGTGTAAGCAGACATGTAATAGCAGAGCAGCAGGTGGTTCCTCTAGTGCAGTTTGGAGCTCTGCTAAGGGCACTTTTTGACCTTTTAGCTTATTTTGTCAACTTATCTCAAACTGTAAGATGATTAAGCTGCTGTCCTAACATGAAGTTCTGTTTCTGGAAACTTGAATTTAAGTGTCTTGTTTTAGATAAATGTCATATAGCTTGTACTATGGTTTATGGCTGTTAGTCTGGGGTAGGTAGAGAACATGCATTTGTCATTGTTAGTGGAAATCTTAATTACTTGTGTCTTTATAGATTCCTCATAGTCAGCACTTGTTTAAAGATGATAAATGAAGATGGCTCTTTCCTTCGAAGAAAACGTTTGTAATTACATTTTGGGTCATCACTGTATGCTTTTGTAGAAAATTAAATAGTGCCAGAATTTAGGTTAACATTTTTAGAAGAAGTCTGGAGTTTGTTATTGTTAGAGATTATAAAATGGGATCTACTCATTAGATCAGATAAACTCAAAGAAAAGAGTTTCTGATTTTTTCAATGGGTCAGGTGGCCTCAAATTCCCTGATTTGTTTATGAGGAGTTTGTCTCTTCATACAGCTCTTTATACAGAGCTAGGTGAAATAAATATATTTGTGTATGTTAGGCAGTAAAATCTCGGTATAGAACAAAAGCAGCTGGTTTTAAACTCAATTTTGTTTTGAAATATGAATCACACCTCAGATTATCAAATGGTGTTGAAATTGCAGTCTGGATTGCAAGAATAGCATGCAGGGTCAAGTTTCCTAGACTTCCCAGTATTTATGTCTTTGAATTTATTATGTACGAAAATAGTAGTTTAACAGAAGCAGAGAGACTTGCTGGAACAACAGGAGACATCTGACTAAGGCAGTGCTTGCAGTAAAGGAATGGGATTTAGCCATGGAGCAGTGAGTTGTACAATGGAAAGATTAGTGGCTGTTGGATAAGAACTATTACACTGGAGTCCTGAATGAAAGCTGAGTTGCTGCTGTCATGTTAATAATGATGTAGAATATTTTTCTTGATACTCTATTGAGGCATTAGTGAGAATTGTACTGTCACAAAATTATCAGTTAAAAGACCTTTATGTATCAGGATTAATAACAGGATAGTTTGTATCTTGTGAAAGGAGTCATCCTCATTCATCCATTCTGAGAATTGCTTTTGCATCACTGACCACATCTTCACTTTATAGTGAATAGATTAGATCAATTATTTGTGTTTTTCTGAACTTGTTTGAACTCTTGGATCTTCAGTTACTGTGCATGCATTGATGCACAGGGGAAGAACCAGAAAGCTCCTTTTCAAGCTAAAATTAGAATTCAAAGAAAGTAAACAACCCATATTTGGTTTCAAAATATGGTGCAGGAGTCTTGAAGCTCAGTACATTACTATGTAATACAGACTTCAGAAGTGTGTTAGTCTGGGGTTTGGGGTGGGAAGAAAAGTCTTCACTCTGTGTGAAGGAGGGCAGCCCCAGGGCAGGGAGGCACTGCCCCAAGAGTGCCACAGAGCCTCAGGAACAGCTGGATTGTCCAAGCATTCTTCATTTCTCTGATAGATGTTTCACTAAAACATTGCTTAGGGCTCTTGAGAAATGCTGCTATGTCTCTTGCGCCTGGATCAGATTCTGTGGGGAAATGATTCCCTGCTTGCATTGTCCCTCTGCTCCCAGTCCCTTGGTAACCGTGCAGTGTCAGATCCTGCCAGGGATGTGCAAGTTCTTGAGCTCAGTTGTGCAAACAGCTCCTCTGCAGGTTGGGTGTGAGACTTTGACAGTGACATGGTTCCCATTACAGTTCACTTTTGTACAGAAAGAGAAAACAGAGATTTGAAGGCAATTCTTCTAAGGAAGCCGTTGTACAGGTGAGAAATCCACTCATGCTGTGAGTGAAGGAAGGGAGGAGCCCGTAACTGTTGCTCTAATTGTGTGCTCCCTCCTAGGTGACGCTTGAGTATATTGCATCCAAAAGTGTCAGGCTGATGGGGGTTTATAGCCCTCCCTGAAGAGTATATCATGCCTGTAGGTGTTTCTGAAAATGTCTGGTAATTGGACCTTGGAGGAATTTTTTGCTGCTACTGGTTATTGAGCATGACACCTTAGCAATATCTCCTTCAACAAAGAACAGAGACCTCTGTGTGTGTAGTATTTCAAGACAAAAGCCACAGGTTGTTACAGTGAAATTGTTTGAGGTTTTTCCACTGAACAAGGCCTGTAGGTGTTGTGTTCTGAGCTGGCTGTTAAACAGACAGGAGGTGTCAGTTTTGTGAGTTAAGCAGCCTGAGCAGGTGGAAGGTGTCCTTGTGTGTGGTGTGGGGTTGGGCTGATGATCTTTAAGGGTCCCTTCCAACCCAAGCCCTTCTATGATTGAGCAAAGCCACAAAAGTCATAGGAGACAGAAATCAACATGAGAAGTGTCACATCAGAGTCTGCTGTAATGGCTGTGCTGTCAGAATTGCCCTGTTCAGCTGCACATTCTCTAGTACACCACAGTGCACATGATTCCTCCTGCAGGAATAAACCCCTCCCTGAGAGGGTGGCACAGGTTCCCAGAGAAGCTGTGGCTGCCTCATCCCTTGAAAGTGTCCAAGGCCAGGTTGGAAGGGGGCCTGGAGCAACCTGGGATAGTGGAAGGTGTCCCTGCAAGACCTTAAAGCAAGATCAGCTTTAAGGTCCTTTACAGCCCAAAGCATTCTGATTCTGTGAAATACTGACTTTCTGCACAAATCTGGTGAAGAGTGCAAAATCTTAAATGAGCCTAATGTGTTTTGCTATTTGAATTAGTTTAAAATGCACTTAAGCTGATGAGTTGCATCTCTGTCAGTGCTCTAGACTTAATTTTATCTTTGAACAGTTAGAACATATTTAGGCTTAATAATCAAATTTCATGCCATATTATCTTTAATTTGACAAGATTTTTGTGAGAGATGGTTTGAGCACATTTTCCTGAACTTACTGAGCATTTCCGTGCATATTTTATTTTTCTGTCACAATTTTAAAAAAATGCCTCTGTCTAGGAGAGACCATTACAAGTTATAAATTAGATTTTCTTCCCTTAGATTGTAAAGAACACATCACAGAAGATGCCAAATCAGAATCCATCAATGACACAGCTGACCTGGCTCTGCCACCTGAAATGCCGATTTTAATTGATTTCCATGCTCTGAAAGATATCCTGGGCCCCCCCATGTATGACATGGAGGTAACATCTTCATTTGTTTCTGTTTGATGCTGTTTCTGGCTGATATGATTATTGCTATTGACCGAGTCTGTACAATGCTAACAACTTCAAAATATGTTAGTAACAACACTGTGTTTCTTTATGTTCCACAAAGTGTGTTTTCACCTAAAGAAGTTTTTGTTTTCTTTTAATTCAGGGTATGTAAGTAACATAATGCCCTGACTTTTCTGTTAGCAAAGGCTCCTGCAGCAGTGCTGAAGAATGTGGTGGTGTTTTTTCAGTTTGAAACAATTTTCCTTTTGTTTGGGGGATGTTTTGGTGGTCTTGGGAAAGAAGCCAAAAGTAGAACCCAGGAATCCTGTCTCTGCAACAGCTGTGCTAAGGACTGTCCCTCATACCTCCTTAAAGCCAGGCAGCATTTTTGGGTATTAAATCCACTTCAGTTTGCACCAGTTCTCAGACATTCTTTAGATTAATGTCACTCTTAGCTATTAAAATGTTTTATGATCAGTCAGGCACCTCCAGCTCTGATCCTCAGTTAGGCATATTTCAGATTTTTTGCTTTCCCCATCTATTTTGCTGCGTTCTATGGCAATGCCATAGTGGTTTAAACTTAGTTAAAGGAGTTTGTTTGGGATTCTCATTTCACAGTGTCAGTGCAGTTGTTCTTTCTTTGTGAGAAGTTTCCTCTTACAATTATTTTCTCCTAAATCAGAGGACCAGACTTCCAGTGGGATTTGAAGAACAAAAAAGGGACAAGGTGATTGGGATAGGAGGAGAAAATGACTGATTGTTAAGGAATGAATCAGTTTTTAGACCTGAACTGAGGCTTTTGGATATGAAGATTTTAGCATGGAAGAGACTCTTAAAGAAGAGATAGAAATGAGGAAACAAACTGAAAGGAGACAGTGCCACTGATTGTGACAGAGGATGGTGAGGGGGACAGTGGGAGAATGGGAGGCAAGGAAGATAAATGACCAACAGGCCAGTGCCTGGTGACTCTGGGCTGAGTGCATTCACGTAGTTCTTTGGTGATTTTTTTGCTTCCAGAAGTTAGAAGAATTTGCTCTTTAGGCAAATGATTGAATTGTCAGCAACTTACATTTGTTCTTTCCAGCTCTCAGAAGCCTCTGTTCCCAAGAGGTAAACATTCAGTGCTAATATGAGACTTTTCTTAGGTGTTCTGTCTGGAGTCAGTTTTGTCTCTGGAGTTTCTGCTATTTTGTCTTTTTTCTGTAGGATTAAGTAATGCAAGTAAAATTTTTAAAGTGCGGTTCTTAATTTTAAGTGTACAAATACAGGAGTGCTAGATGGGGGTTTTCTTTTGTGGGTTTTTTGTTTATTTGTTGTGGGGTCCACAATAGATACCATAAATTTGCAGATAAGCATTTCATGGATCTGCGTAAACTGAAATAAGTCTGATTGAAGCTTGTGACATCTGTATCAAAAGGTTTTCTTAACATTTCCATATTTAGGAGGCAAATTTAGTGCATAAATAGAAGTAGAGATGAATTCACACAGATCAGTTCCCCAAGCAGACCAGGATTTATTTTCATGTTCTATTTGCTGTATTTATTGAGTGAATATTTTTCATTACACACTTTGGATTTTTCCATGTAAATTGCTCAGATAACAACAATAACATTCTATTTCAAGGAATTTTCCCAGTTAATGTGTTATTTCTTAGAATTTTCTCAGGTCCCTTCAAGGTTCTTAGGAAGAGTTCCTGCTCTGGCAGGTGTCTGAGCCTGGCTGTGGGTTCTGTGCTGTAGTCACAGGCTGGGGCTCCTCTCTGGGTCTGGCCTGAGCTTCACCCTGGGCCTGCATTTTGCCATTTATCAGCAGCTGAAACAAAGACACGATGGAGGCAGCCACTGTGTCAGTACCTGCATGAGGCTGAGCAAATGGACTGAAAACATGACATGACTTAATTGATCTGTTGTCCTTCAGGGAATTCCTGACACAGGGATTCATCTTTCACCTTTCCAGGGCATTCCTCAGCTATTGTCTGCACAGCTCTCCCAGCAGAATTTGTGACAGAATATTCAGCTCCTCCTTGCTGGACTAATTTATTTATCACAAATAAAAAATCTTAGATGTCTCCCCACAGAACAAAAGTTGGAATAAATCACATAGTGAGGCTTTGAAAGAATAATTTTGGCAGTTTAAAGTGCAGAAGATTTAATGAAATGTTTCAGCACAGCACACTTTCGGGGGAAAGGGTTTCTAACATATCCAGTGGGTTTATAGCAAACTATTTGTATTTTTGGCTTGGATTTTAGTTTGTGTTTTGGGGGATTTTTTAGCTTTTTTTTTTTTTCTTCCAACCCTTAATCCTGCTCAAGTAACAAAATATTATTGGCACCACAGGAAGGCCCACCAGGATTGGTGTATATCCTCATAACTTGAGTGAAATTGAAGGGACAGAAGCTGTAGGTTAGTGAAATGACCTATTCTAGGAAATGAAAGTGCAGATGCCATAAAAGAATGGCTCTCTTCATGGGACATGGACAATTCTAATTAGGGAAAACATTAGGGTGTCTTTCAGAAGCAAAACCTGTCCAAAGCACAGGTTTAGATTGGCATTTTTATCTAAGAACTATCAGTCTTGTGGTGATATTTCTGGGAAATCCTCCCCTCTCAGAGGGAAGCCACTGTTAATGTGCTTTGCCAGCAGTGATTTGCCAGGGAATGAATCAGAAGAGTAGAAAAAAGTTGGTACAGTTAGGCTGGAAGAACCATGGAAGCAAAACAAACATGCTAAAAACCAGCAAGGGACTGAACAGCTTCTCATCTTCCCATTGTGAATCAGGGACTTACCAGCTTCTTGTCCATTACACTGACTTGGTGTAGTTCCAACACTGCAGATGAGAACCTGAAATACTCTAAAATAAATGACTGTGCTGAATATTAAGACTTTAATTTTGCAGTGTCCAGGAAGCTAAAATGCATCTGACAGTATGTTCATGCACTCAGTGTACAACTAAACCACAGCTGGTTTCGTCTTATCTACAAAAATTTTCAAACCTCAAGACATATAGGTCAGTGACATCATAATCATCAACTGACAGACATCATCAGCCATCAGCTGATCCAAACAGTCATTTTTAATTGAAGTTGTTTAGAAAGTGTAAGAAAGGATTTATTCTAATTTAAATTAATCTGACTTTTGATGAGAAGAAATTATTCAGAGGTGCCAGGAGCGATTCAGTCTTACGGGGTTCCCTGTAACACTTTGTGGGTGTCTCATGCAGCCCAGTGTGTTTTCCTCTGCTGGTGGGGGTTCTGTGGCTCTGGCTGTGTTAAGGGATTTCCAAGGGGCTTTTCTGCAGCCGGTCTCAAAGCTGCCAGGGCATTTGCCACGTGTGCCTGTCAGCAGGCTCAGTAAAGGCTCAGCTGAGGAGGTTGCAGCAGGGTGGTCCAGTGTCTCTCCAGGAGAGCAGGAGAGGTTGCTTGGCTTTGGAGGCACCAGGTGATTCGAGGAACAATGGTTCAAAGGTGATCAACACCTACTACACAGCCAGTTTCTGTTAACAGATCCCAACTGACTTGTGAAAGCAGGAGGAGGTACCTGCCTAGTCTGAGGATACAGGAGGGAGCCTGTGCTGAATCTTTAGAACCATTTGGGTTTTGGTTTGTTGTCCCATTTGCTGTGTTCTGCCCCTGAGCTCTCAAACAGTCTCTAAACTGTTTTCACTTGATCCAGAGTCCAGTCTAAAAAAACTGAAACAAAACCCCCAAATCAACAAACCTTGCTGGTGGCTGCTTTGGGCTGGGAGAGGGTGTGGACAGTTAATTTTGTTTGTTACACCTGTAATGTTTGAAACCATGATGGTTTGGCACAATAGCATTGTCTCGAGTGCAAAGGGTGATGTTCCAGTGCTGTTGGATTTCAGTGTGACCAGGATGAACTGACTTTAACCTGAGTTACTAAGCAGTTACTAAAATAATCAGAGTAAATCAACATAACTAATAACACACAGGGAGTGGATATAGAAACTGATGTTAGCAAAAATGCTTGGTGAGGTATTTTGATACCATAAAAGTGAAACACACTGTTCTGTAAAATTTTCTTAAATGCTAGAGAAAGAAAGAGCTTTCTTAGCTAAATCATGGTAGTGAAAGCGAATAGCAGGGTTTTGATGCCAGTGCACAGGTGAGGGAGAGCCCCAGGGAGAAGCAGGAGAAGGAGTTCTGTGGCTTCCTTGGCTTTGGCTGCCAGTGTAGCTGCTGATTGCTTGGATGCTTGTAATTCCTAAAGGGAACTAGAGGGGACTCTGTCAGGTGTCCCCTCTGACTGGCTTGGGAACACATTCGTGTTTCCGCTGTTCCAAAGTGTCAGTGTCTGCAGGGAACAACAGCGGGGGCTTGGCTGGCCACAGCTCAGGCAGTGCAGCCACCTTTAAAAAGGCTTTTAGGGAACACTGGGGAGCAAAACTGGCTTTGTGACAGGAGTAACAGTCAGGGCAAACACTCCAGCAGATGGGTTAAGTCACATAAACATTCAGTCAGGATTGATTGAATACTTGAAGTCCTTTGAGGAAATTCTTATGGTGTTTTTGGGGGCAGGGAAGGTTTCAAGAATGACACACCCAGATGTTTGCCACGGCCTTAAGCTAAGCTGCCACATACAGCTCCTGTTGTGTAATTAGTGTTTACACATATCCAGAATTACTGCTGCATTAAATAATAAATTAAGAGAGATCAGACACTCAGCTTAACTTCTGTGTTTTAATGGGTACAATTGTTTCAAAGCTAACTATGAAATTGTTTTTGCAATTTTTTTTATGGCTATTTCCTAAACTGCTTGCTGTGTTTCCCTTCAGGTGTCTGAGCGCCTCAACCAGCCCGGGGTGGCCATAGGCCTGGCCTGGACGCCCCTGGGAGGGGAGATCATGTTTGTGGAAGCCAGCCGGATGGACGGCGAGGGCCAGCTCACACTGACGGGGCAGCTGGGGGACGTCATGAAGGAGTCGGCTCACCTGGCCATCAGCTGGCTGCGCAGCAACGCCAAGAGATACCAGCTCACCAACGGTGGGGCAGCAGGAATGCACCTCCAGCCTAGTGGTGCTACACCGCTGAGCAACCTGGGAGTTACTCACTGTGCACAGTGTGTAACAGAGAAGGGGTTTCAGTGCTACCCTGAAGATGTGATCGGCTCCAGAGTGCCTTTGTGTAGTTCCTTCCCAGTTGCTGCCAAGCCGAGGTGGTTGTGGCCTGGCAGAACGTGAGCTGTGTCTCCCTGCCCTAACCTCGAAGGTTGTGGGGCAGCCTCAGTGCCAAGGTGTTTCTCCTTGGTCGTGGAAGACACTGCCTCTGACTCATTTTTACACTCAAGCTTTCCAGCAGTATTTTTGTGAGGGAGACAGATGTGGAATTCTGTAGATTTTCTCTGAAAGGTTCTGTTAAAAGGTTTTTGTAGTGTAAGTTTTCGTATTTTGAGAATGTTGGGTTTATATAGCAGCTGTGGATCTGTGGTGCAGTAGGGCTCTGGACAAGAAAACTTTAGCTATTTGTCTGAACCTCGCAGGACTTGTGGAAATATGCTTTCTAGATTGATCATCTGCTGATAAAGCAAATAACTGACCAGTATCTGCTACTATTGTGGAAGTTTAGGTAGGTTAAAAACTAAAATGGAATTGATTTATGAAATGCTGCAGTCATTACCTGTCTGCATGTTTGCCTCTGGTTTACACTCCACATACTCCATTAGAGGTGAAAGGACATAAATAAGAGTTTCACTTTATTGTAATTGTGAATTTCTGTGGAGTGTTCTCTGAACATTGACGTTGATGGTTTGAGACATAAAAATTCAATGTAGAATTCCTTGGTTTCCACATTAATCCCTACTCTCAACTTCCCAATGCATGCAAATGCCAAGCTTATTACTTATCATGTTACAGTTTTTTCTAGGAATCTGGGTGTAGGAAAGCTCATTGGGATTTCTTTGTTGGCTTTTCCTAGGGCCTCTGCAATATTGTGTTGTTTTTTTCAGCCTACTGTTAATAAATAGTGCCAAGGCTTTTAGTTCTTGGTGGGCTTTTAGAATAAAGACCAGGAACAAAATGGGTTTAGATTTTTAACATTCAAACCATTCCTTTTTTTTCCTTAAGCTTCTGGAAGTTTTGATCTCCTTGACAACACTGACATCCATCTGCACTTCCCAGCTGGAGCTGTCACAAAAGATGGACCATCTGCTGGTGTTACCATAGTAACCTGCCTTGCTTCACTCTTCAGTGGGCGGCTGGTGTGCTCCGATGTAGCCATGACAGGAGAAATTACACTAAGAGGCCTTGTTCTTCCAGTAAGCATCACTGGAGAGGAGAGCTAAGTTATATTAATTCTCCCTGTTTTGGATCTGAAATCTGTTTATAGCCACTTAGAAAAGAGTGGATCCAGAGCCTTGCTGGGTCATTCCTTAGCAGCAATGCAGTCTCTGCTGGTGCAGTTGGAAGAGGCCAGGCTGTTGCAGGACTGCACCACTCCTCTCTTTTGCCTTTAAAGCTAAAGCCAGCCTTGATGTGGCTTTTGAGGAAAATACATTAAAATGTCTTCTTGGGAAGGACACCTCAAAGTCTTTAAAATGCATGAGGTCTCTAAAATCTGCACTGTTTCTAAACGTGCTTCCTCAGAGTGTTGGTACTGAACTACCTCAGGTGTCTTTGAAAGTCTTAAAGCTCTCACAGTAACTGCACACAGGTTACTCCTGAATCCATGGATCTACTTTTAAGTTTCTCTTAAATGTTGGTCCTTGTACGTAGCGCAGCTAAATGGAGTTTCTATAAAGCTTTGTCCAAGTATGAAGGCAGAGTGTTTGAACAGAGCTTAAAGTGTCAGTGCAGCCTGGCACAGGTGCTGAAGTCCATATGGGGGCTGTCATCTTATACCAAATGATAGCCAGGAGGATGAAGCTGGAAATCAGGGACAGGATTTTGTTTCCTGCAGAGACAGAACCAGACGTGCCATGGTAGACAGTGGCCTAGGTGACTCTGGGGGCAGACAGTGGCAGGATAGGCCATTGTCCAGGGTTCTGGAGCTCCCTGCAGTGACTCTGGTGGGAGCCAGCTCAGCCTTGCAGCCAGCCTGTCCTGACTGTGCCAGGCAGTGAGCACACTGTGCCTGCTGCTAGAGCTGTGTGCAGGTAAAGTACCTGTAAATGTTAAACCACATTTTCCTCCTTCCCCAAGGCAGTGTGGAATCTTGCTGTTACCAGTGATTGAATTCCCAGGGCTGTGCCAGGGGCTGCCCTTGCTGCTGAGTGTGCAGCACTGCCCAGACCTGTGGGTCATGCTGAGGATCACGGTTCACTCCTGCCCCGTGTCAGGGTTTGCCCTTTGTACTGTAATACAGGCCCTTCCTCTCCTCTAAAGCACTGTAAAGTTACAAGTTCCTGCTCTAAGATGGTCTTTGGGAATAGAAAGGGGTTTGGGGGACTAAGCTGCAGCTGTTAGAAAAACTAATTTAACCCCTGTTTACATCTCATTAGCAACTCAGCCTGGAGGCCTCTCGACTCCTGGAACAAAGGTTTGCTTTGCTGTGCATATTTTGTTGTACAGTTCAAGTTATTTTTCATGGGACATTGCTTCCTTAAGACTCTTTTCCTCCTAAATGTAACACTGCCTCTATCTGAAAAATCTCCTGTTCTAATGCAGGTGCAGGGATTTCAGCACATGATATAGAAAAACAGAGTGAAGGCCACTTTTGTTGAAGAAATTCCTGAAACACAGTGACTTTTCCAGTATTCATTCTCTTCTACCTGCACTCCTAAATTTATTTTTCTATTGTTATTAGCTGTTACAGAAAGAATAGTGTAGTGTATTAACATATGTCCCTCATTAAGCACACGATGACCTACAACTCTGCCTTTTTAAATGCTTTCCTAAATGACTGAGGGAGGCAAAACCTTTCATCAAACTTTAACTCCTGATGTGATGTTACAATAATTATTAGATTAGTTCATTGTTTTTATATGTTATTTCTTCTCCTTCTTAGGTTGGGGGAATTAAAGACAAAGTGCTGGCAGCACACCGAGCTGGACTGAAGAGAATTATCATTCCTCAAAGAAATGAGAAAGACCTGGAGGAGATTGCAGCGCACGTGCGGCAGGACCTGACCTTTGTGCTGGCCGGGTGCCTGGACGAGGTGCTGAACGCAGCCTTCGATGGCGGCTTTGCAGTCAAGGCCAGGCTCGAGCACTTGAATAGCAAACTTTAGGCAGTTATTTCTCTCTGCAGTTCCATAGTTCTTGATCTCTTTCAGCTACATTTAGGTATCAGGTACAACTATGAGCCAAACAGGACTGTTTTGCAAAAGGAAGATGTTGCTGCTGTAGTTACCAACCTGAAACTGCACCTTATGGGTGTTTGCATTTCCTGAGGCATTTAAGCATGAAGAAGAATTCCTTAGCTTGTCTGGCACCTATGTATGTACATGGCAGCAGCATGGTCCCATCCTTAAAGAGGGAATGTGCAGCAGGAGAGGCTCATAGTGGGGTTGTTACAAAAAGCAAACTGATTTAGTGCAAGTTTACTTATTTACAAAATATCTATAATAATGTGCTAAGGAGCAGCAGTATCAGGGGAAAATAAGGTTTTTGAAATGTAAAAAAAATACGCCTAAGGCATCTGAAGCACTATGGCCTAATAAATGAAGTTAGTAAGTTCCTTCAGCACTTAGTTCTAGTTTGTAGCAAGGCAATGGCAGCCACCCTTTTTCAAAAGCAGGAAGCAGAAATGTAGGAATTGTGTAGGAAGGGAGAGAACACATCAGTTCCCATCTGCACAGCTGTCCCTGCAGCAGCAGGTGATGTGTGCTTGAGGCCTTAATGAAAAAACCCAGTAATGTTTTGGAGGGACAGTGTGTCCTTCATTCCTACCCACTACACACCCACTTGGTTCCAGGATGCCTATGCTTGGAGGTTCACCTATGGAAATTAAATCAATTTAAACAATGCCAAGAAAATTCTGAATCATTATTCACTGTGAATAAAGTAAGGTTCAAGAAGCCTAGCAGCCTTCCTGTCCTCTGCTAGCTTTGCTCTTACCTCCCTTTGAACCTCTGACAACTGCACTTCAGTGTGTGATCTGGGCCTTTGGCATTGTTTATTCCAGAGTCAGCCCCACAAGCAAATCCTGGATGATGTTACATCCTTCTCTTGTTCACTGGTTCTGAAACAAACCCCAAAGTGCTTATGAAACACAGACTGTACCAGTGACAAGAGCCTGTTCTAGAAGCTGCCTAAAAATCAAAAGTAAGAATTTGCTTTGCTTTCATTTTCATAGATAACAAAGCTGATTTACCTGGAACACAACAGCACTGATAATTATCAATCCAGTGAAATCTCAACACCTATTTTACAAAAGATTTTACAACTTTGACAAAAGACTTAATCTAATAAAATGATAAAAATAAAACCTGCTTCTGTGTCAGTATTTTAAGAGCTCAGCCAACAGCCATTTACAGCCAACAGCCCCATGTTCTGCCTCATGAGAAAGGGGCAGGAAAGAAGTGCAAAGCTACTTCCCCCTGGGTAAAACCCCAGCCTGGTAACTCTGTTCTGCTGCTTTGCTTTTTATCAAAGCAGGAGGGAAAAATCCTTTACCAAAGAGCTGGAGAAGCAATCCTGCACTGTGAAAGCACTGACATGTTCTGAATTCCAGCATGGTCTGTTTATATATGGACAAAACAAACCTGCATTTTTTAAAGAGAATAAGGACTAATAAAAAAAAAAGTTTCCAGCATAGCAAAACAGGGAGCTGCTCCCCAGAAAACTTAAAGGATGACTTTCTGTCTGACACGACTCCAATTCCTAAGTCTCCACAGACTCCACCTGAAGGCAAGGGGTTTAATGCCACTCTGAAGATAATGCCAGGCATTTACTGCCAGCTTTTCCTGTCCCTGCTGCCAGAGCTGAGGCTGTTACTGTGTTGAGATTTTTTTGAAACAAAACACAAGCATTACCCATTATAGCAGACACTACAGCCACACTTTGGTGCCTTTTGTTTTGCTTTCACTGAGCACAATTATTGTGCAGCAGCGAGCCAGAGCAGTGCACAACTTCTGAAGGGATGTCAATATCCTGCAGAGCACCTGCTTAGGAATGCTTAGATGGACCCGAGATCAAATTTGTGTCCCTCAGAAAAACACCCCAAATTAGCTGAAGCTTATCAAAGTAAAAGCAGTGGCAGCTCCTTTCCTCTATCCGTACTATAAAGTGCTACAGATAGTAACTATCCCACTATAACAACTCCTCCTTTCATCACAGCATCTTGGAAAAGATTATGGATAAAACAACAGGACAGGCAGTAATACAAAACCATTTACCTGCTTTAATTTTAAAGCACTGCTGCGAACAAGAACTAGCAGGAACTGTCACAACAGAATCAAAATATTTACATCCACATTTGTCAAACATTTTAAGGCCTTTTTATTTTAAAGGGCAATGAAAAACCACGGAGGTGGTGCTAGCAGATAAATGCAAGATCTACTGTGTTTCATCTTGTAGAGACAAATTTGAATACTCCTTCCCAATACAGCAAAGTAAAACAGCACTTTCTAAAATAAATAGCTAATGTTAAGACAATGCCAGGCTTTAATACACCATTTATTTAAGATAAGGTAGTAAACTGTACAGATTTCTAGTATGGTTTCTTTTTTCATATATAACAGTGTAGTTGACTTACCAGATCCTCATACTCTTTAGGCTTGTAATACTTTTGAGGATCTGGGCCTAAGGCTAATTTCATAATTCCATCTGATGATGGATATTAAAGGTTTTATACAATTATTTAACACCAAATGGAGCAGTATTAATTTACATTACAGTAAGTCAGCATACAGTAGTTATGCTATAGCTCTTGTCCTCTGTGAAACATGAACCAACCTGCCTGAGCACAGCAGGCAGCATCTAAAGCTCACTGCCAAGGCCTTTCCTGAGGGCCCCTTCCAGAGCACAGCCCAGACCTTCAGCCCACTGTGCCTAAACCAGATCACTGCAGCTCAGCACAAGCGTTCAGTGGGGAACACAGCCCCAGCTGAGCCCTCCCAACCACAGCAGCAGTGACCTGCACAGCCCTGGCCTCTCAGGGCAGCGTCACAGGGGGCACAAAGGTTCTCCACCAATTCCCTTGGCACAACCAGAGCTGGAATGGCTCAGCCCAGCCAGGGAGGCACCAGGAACAAGGGAGACCTGGGCTCCTCTGAAACAAGTATTTAGCAAACTTGCTGTTAAAGACAAACTGGAGGTAAATGTAGACAAGCTTAATTAGGTGAGAGTAATTACTGAATTTAGAAAACTGCAAACAGTTGGCTGTATATTCAAAATGAATAAAATGCTAGATTGCAGGAGTTTTGGAAGCATTTATCTACTGTCACAAGGTACCAGTACATCTTTTAAATTACATCTGTGCACAGTTCAAACAATCTAAGTATCAAGTTTTCAGAGTGAAACTTTTTCTACATGAAGCCAACTATTTCTGTAGTATTTTATTAATCCAACCCAATGGATTTTATGTTCCTTACCTGTAGAACTACTTACCTCATCATGCATCAAAAACAGTAAGAACAAGAGTTGTCTTAACAGACCAATTTCTGATAAGAAAGTTAAGACAGTGCACAGTAAATAAACTGTATTTTAATGTGTTACAAAAGTAGTCAATAACCAGACCAGCTCCCTGACACATCCACTACCACTTGGTTTGACACAGATCTTCCCGCTCGAGGTGGAACAGCTTTTCCCCTGCTCTTGTCTGTGTCTGTTTTGTAACACAAATCCCATTTACATTTGTGGTTCAGTTTGCACATACAGGCAGTCTGCATAAAGCCCAGTATCCTTCCGAAGCCTTTAGGGCTGGTCAGTCACACCTGGAAGAGATTTATCTGCATTGTCATGTGGATCATGTCAGCAAAATGAGATACAAAAGTCAGTTCCAGACAGTTGCTTTAGTTACAACTAAAAGACATGACAAGAAACTGAGCAAGAGCATCAATGTGTCAAACTTTGAGCTAAAGCAAAAAGCAGAAGTTGGCTGTGTTTTTTTTCATTTGCCAGGTAATCTTTTAATGACAAATATAAAAAGACTGAAAACATCTCACTCTGACTGCCTTTTTTTTTAGACAAATGGTCTGCTTTTATAATTACAAATATTGTGTAATACAATACTTTCTTTGTACTGCAAACCAACAAATACAAGGATGCAATCAATTTTCTAAGCATCTCTAAATTTGAAATGTGAATTACTATTTTTTTTTAATTCGGAAAGTTCTTAATAATTGTTCATTTTTGTTAGAAGATAACTCAAAGTACAACAACATCTAGACCTGTTTTTAAAGGAGCTGTCTTTCCTGACACATCTTTGAACATAAGCACTCCTTTCGAGTTCAGTACATTCACAAATAGCTCAATTAAGAACAGTATCACCAATGAATTGACTACTGGAAAGAGACAAAATTTACCAAACATACAGAAATATAAGTTTTACCATAGCAATTATGCATATCAAAAGATGACAACTGTAATTAATTTTAAAAAGATACAAAAAAGAGAAAAACCTGAATTACAGAAAAGAAAGTCATATTTATTTAATGAAAAACTAGAAGTTAATAAAAATTAGCAAATACACAAAAAATATACACAAACAGCAGCAATACTATGTAGTGACTTACAAAGGGGAGGTGGGGAGGAGGAGGGGAAGCAGCGGTCAGAGACCAGACCGCTCAACATGGCTTGTCAGTCAAAGGGGGAGGAAAAAAACACAAACAAAAACACGAAACAGTATCCTTTTCAACAGTACAATCAATCTACAAACAAGTTTTTAGAATTATTTTACAACATTTCCTGTAGAATCAATTCTTAATACAAAAGATGCCCATTTTGGGTGTATATATACTTTCAGTGGTTTACTGTTGACTTATTTTAAATATATTAGTTACTACATGCAACTGCTTCCTGTAATTTAACAGCCTTTCCTTTTATTTACCTTCATTTATGTCTACCCTCCATCTACCAAATAATTTGTCTGACAGTCAAAGATGGTTACCCTATTTCTGCTAAATTAAATGCAACGGTTTTAAACACTGGCCTGAAGAAGTTTGATTGCCATTTCAACACATGGATATAGTTACATTGATGCCTAAATTGCCATTTTCTGCAAAGAGCTGTGCAATGCTGGTGTCAAAGACTAGACAGTCACTATTCATAATGGCTGTTGCAATTCCCTCATGAATGGATCGAGGAGTTGCTTCCCAAGTCAATCGCCGCCTATGCCCGTTTAGCTCGAGTCGATAAGCAAAGTTTTCTGCTTGCTTGCGTGTTCCTATCAGCTGTACAATTGCAAAGAACTGCTGGTGACCATCATATTTTTCCTGTTTCTCCAACACTAACATGAAATGAAAGCCAAAACAAGACTGCATCATAACCCAGTCAACAGCACCAGGAAGATTAATGTCTGTGGCCAGGAACACTATATCTTCTCCCTGCAGCGTCGTAATTGACTTATGCTGATGCATCAGGTGTGGCATTACAGCATCCAGAGAGCCTTGCCATTTACATGAAGCACCGGGACAGGGACAGGAGTAAGGCCTAAACTCACACAGCTCCTCATGGTCTGCTTTTTCTGTGTGTGGCAAAGTTATCTCGCAGCCGGAAGAGGCGTATTTACATGGGAATAGTACAGAATTGGCAACTTTCTCCATAGCCAGGTTACGGATGGAGCCCAACGGGCCTCGGCAAGTGGGGCAGCAGGTGAGTTTGGGGCGACAGTTGCTACAGACCAGGTGGCCACTCTGACACTGCAGGATCGGTGGCAGCACATAGTCAAAGCACACGGGACACTCAAAGAGACTGGCCAAGTCATTGTTGGAGGCTGTGGTGCCCGTCAGCGCGGGCACCCTCTGTGATGGCGTGCACTTCGAGGTACCTGTGGGTAGTGCTGTAGCAGTCTGACGGCTCATTTCTGCAACAGAACAGAGAACAGACAATTCAGATCTCACCACACTTCACTGCCTCTGCATACAGCATTTCTTGAGAGAGAGAAATGAAATACAAGAGAGAATAAAATACAGATGAAAGCAACGCCCCCATGTAATACAAACTCCATATAAGGTACGTGTAGATCAGGTGCACACATGTTCAGACACTGGCACAACATGGACACTGAACAACTGAAGAAGTTCTACTCATTGTTCTAAAGTGGCATTTACCTACTGGAAGCTGCAAGGGAGAGGAGTAAAGACATGCTAAAAATAAGAAGTTTGTTATAGTTGGTTTGTTTTTTAATATTGCATTTATGAAATGCTTCACTCAGATCCCTTGTGTGTGTATCAACTCTGTGTATGGAACAATTCTAAGCTGCTGTGTATGAGGAACGAAGCATTTTTAATTAAAAAAACACATTCTGAAAATGACTTCCTCAGTAATCATGTTTACAGTGTCATTTTTTTAAAAAAAAGTGGAAAAACACAGCTCAGACAATTACTACCCTGCTTTTTTCCCAGGACAGGACAGTGACTCTTCATTTTCATTACTCTGCTACTGAGGCCCACAGCTTATAAAGCACAGCCACTGCTTCCACTTCCTTAACTAAAAAAATTGTGAGGATACCACAAAAAAAACCCCAAAGCAATTATTTATTTCATTTCCCAAATAAAACTAGAAATTCAAACTTCACTTGTTAAATTTGAGAATTCACTTTACCATGTAAACACTCAGACATTTGCAGTTCCTTGGAAAGGCCCTCTTGATGAAGTTCTATGTTCAGTGGAGCTCCCACTGAAGTTCTGTCCTCTCCCATGTTCCCAGACAAAGGGGACAGCTGTCTGACCAAACAGCTTGCTTGAGCATTCCGCAGATGTGGAACATTTGTTAACATGTTATGTTTTCCTGCACTCCTAACTCTCCTCCTTCTTGTGGAAGTTACTAGCACTATCTGAAAAAATAAACCATACCTTTGTAGGTAAAGGGCAGTTAAATAAAAAGCTATCCAAAACTGGCTTCTGTTACACAGTACAAGTCTCAGCCACCCTAAGTGCCTCTCTGTGAGTACAACCAGCTCTGGATCTGTCACGTACGTATAAAGCTCTCAAAATAAACCTCATCTTTAATCTCCTTGCTATTTGACATGGGAATATTAGGCAATAGGCAAGCTTCCCATATTTAGCATCATTTCACCCACAAACTTACTCATACTTGGACCAGACAGCTCAGAGCAGCATACTGTGCATGCTTTTGCAAGACATGCACCGTTTCAGGGCACAAAGCAGAGGAACTAAGAGATTCCAACTTGCAAAATGACTTAGTCCTTGACATTCAAAAAGTAATGAGAGACAGACAAGTCCAAATTCCTCTACAGAAGTACCTCTCCCCAGAGCTAGAAAAGTATGAGTGTCTAAGATTCAATACTCTCAGTCACTGATTGTATGAGTCTCACAAGCCCACTGACAGCATCTTCTTAATCCACCAAACTCTCTTCCTCCATCTCAGGCTTGGTGGTCTACAAATACCCAATTCCCATCCTTGGGAAAAACACCCATGGCAGCAGTTTTCAGTACTGGGCCATAACTGATACTGTAGAGGTATGGCAAGAATGTGTCTTTTGGCTGTACCTTCCCACTGTGAGGCATTCCAGCTTCGATGAGAAGTTTAGGATGTCTGTGACGAACCAAGCATGTGTCCTGGGGAAGTGATGCTGCACCAGCAAGAGGACTGGAGCAGCAAGATCTCTGCCAGCTGCGCTGCCCTGTGTCCCAGCAGCTGCAGGTGGGGGGCACCCTGCACTTCTGTGCTCCAGAACAAACCACTGGACATGGGAGAACCAATGCTGATCACACTGTTTGCTCAGGAAGAGCTTGGAAGTAACAAGAATATTCATATGTGAAATTCTGAAAGTACTTCCCTTCAAATATTGCAAACAACGCATCTCAGAATGTGCGTGCTTCCTCTTGCCTGACCCTGTACGTCCTGATCCAGGGATCCCCCATAACCTGCAGATAACGCTGGTGAAAACCACTGCGTCAGACCAGTTCCCTGGGCAGCCTGACGAGCTGGGTGAGCTCTGCTGCCTTTAATTACACCCTGCTGAGCCCATGCAACAGTTAAATGAGGCACCTAAAACTTTGTGCAAGACCTTGTGCACAGATGCACTTCCCACCTGAGCTTTCTAAGCACTGCAGAACTGTGTTACCAGTGCTCCTGTGTGAGCAGGACCTTTCTCAACACTCACAGGAGCAGAAAATGGAAACCAGCAGGAATCTGAACCAGACCACTGAGATTAGCATGCAGGAAAGACACAGGATAAGGCTATAAACTGTAATTTACCAAGCCTAAACCTGCCCAAAGCCTACATTTTCATCACTCCTGTTAACACAAAGATGAATAATACATCTTTTATAGCTATCTCAAAAGTTATAAGCTAATCACAAGTAGAAGTTTTAACAGTGGAATACATTTAACCTACCAAACTATGAAAATCATACAATTAGAAACCAAGGAAAAACAACTACAGAACCGGTGATAAAGTCTGAAGGTATTTTTAGTTACAAACCCCTTATTACAGGTAAAAACACCTATATGCAATATTTGCTATTTCATTATCTTTGTTTGCACAAAGTAGGAACAAGTTTCTAAGCAACAGCGACAAACCAAGCAACACTAAGGTGTCATTTTCAAGAGTAGGTCCTTTAACTTTGATTATCAAAAAGACTGTACGTATTCGAAAAGAATTATCCAACAGTAAGAGTGAAAAAGGGAAAATGCATCTTAAGATTTCCTAGTTCTAAATCAAGAAAAGCTGTTCTTAGTAGTATCAGAACGCACCGACCTGTTGCTAAAGGCATTCTCGACAGTGTTCTGGGAAAGGCGACATGCACAGGCTACGGAGACCTCCCGCGGGACACAACGTAACAGCTCCCACAAGCCCAGCTTTAAATACTGCGCATAAGGCAATTTAATCGGCGCTACCTTTCCCCTTGCAGGTTTTACTCCCCGGCAAGCACGCAGACCAGACGCCCTTCCAGGAATACGGCCCGCTGGAGGCAGATCTGCCCGTCATGGGGCGCGGAGGAGCTCATGGCGTGTCCGCGCAGCACAGACGGGCTGGGGGCACGGGCCGGGCACTGACCGCGCCGAAAGCCCCGGCGACCCCGGGCGGGCCCCGCGCCGCGCCCGGACGGCACCGCCCCGGGCGGGGCCCACCGCCCCCATGTGCGGCCGCGCTCCGGCCCCGCGCCCCAAAATGGTTCCCCGAGCTTCCCCCGGCACTGCCGGCCCGGGACGGCCCCGCCCCGCCCGCCGCTGCCTCCGGGGAAGGACCCGCCTCGGCCCCGCCCTTCCCGCGGAACCGGGATCGGGGCCCGCCCCGCCGTGGGACCGGGATCCGGGCCTCACACACTTCCCCCCAAATAACTGCTCTGAAAAAGCTACAGCTTCCATTCAAAATTCTTTTAAGACATGAAAATCACTTCCTCCTGCTTCAAGGATATTCCTCAGATGAGAAATTTTCACTGTGGATCTATAAAGTCCTATTCAACAGGAATTTTCTCCATTTGTATAAATATTAGTCAATTAAGTAAAATCATAATCTCAAGGAAAAGAAATGACCAACAGAACCAGAACAATGTGGTATATTTGATTATCTACTTGGACTATTAAAAAAAATTAGAACAGCTAAAAGGATAAAGCAGCTGGAAACCAAGTCAACATGCTCGCATGATGCACACACTGCTCAGAAAAGCTTAGACATTATGGAACGCTGATGTAATGATGGTAAGATCAGGGAGGTACAAGTTTCAGTAGAGGCAACAGAACACACTGAGATAAACTGTTGTGGCCATATAAAAAGTAATGTTACAATATCTGAGTAAAGAAAATTATCTTTAAAAATGCTTTCATACTATTTGAAATTCTAGTCCTTTTCAAGAAGACTTGTATCAGCACTGTAATACCTGCAAATAATGCCCAATTGCTACAAAAAAAACCTGCCCACTTGATACAAAGCTTCCTTCAGTCTCACCCACAAATGTGCAATATACAGCATCCCACCAGGTAAGAGTCAATAAAGTTTACAAGCAGAACAGGAAAGCTGCAGAAAAACTGCACAGAAACCATTTCTGAGACACTAAGAGTGTGTTGTGAGGTGTGTGAAACACACCCTAGGCTCCCCCTCGTGTGGCAGCATCCCAGAGCACACCCACGGGTGCCTGGACAGGAGACAGCTGCACGGTGCTTCGGGGACATAGCCTTCGGGACCCGGACTCAGAACCAAAATAGTGTGGGGATGGGAAGACACAACCAATCCACTGGTTACAAAGCTCTGCTGAGGTGCAGGCACACGGAAAGTGGGTTGAAGAAGCTGAAAAAGATGGCGTGCCTCATGTGCCAGGGAATTAACAACAGTAAATAGGACTAGACTGATACTCTTCCACTTCCAGCTTCTCACCTTACCAAGGTGTTAGCTCCAAACACATTCTAGAAATCACATTTGTGCTTCACTGGCATACAGGGTACCTTTGAAAAATTCAACTCAGCATCATTCACTTCTCTCATATCAAGTAGCACATCTTCTCTCATATCCTCACCCATATCAAACAGATTAGACTCGAGTTTAGCATTTTACTTTGCTTTTGAAAGGGTAACTGAATATTAGTTTGGGGGGGGGGGGGAAACGCACAAAAGTTCTGTATAGTCATCTTAATAGTTGGAAGGGAAACAGTCTCATGTAAGAGCGATAAAAGGACAGAAAAAAATTATTTATCACTACTGTCTGTATGTGATGCAATAAAGTATTATTTTCTATAATGTTTCAAAACTGAGTTCAGAAACTTCTATTCAAAATACACTCTTAATGCATTACAGCCACCAGCAAAGTAATAGAAAACCTTTCAACTTTTTCAACTGTACAATTGTATCTGAAAATAAGACTTTTTTAACACAGTATTGTTAGGGAGTACTGGAAATGAGAACATGAAGTTGTGAAAAAACATTGACAAGTTATTTTTTTCAAGATGTGACACAAGCCAAAGAATTTCAAAACCCAAAAGATAAATGAAAGGTTGAAAATATTGATTAAACATAAAATATATCAGAGAAAAGCTTGCCAATATTTTTGAAGAAACAAATATTTTTAGTTTTATTTTATTTAAAAGACATTTTAGGACCCAAGATTTTGACTTTTGCAGTTTATCAATTTCTCTTTCCCAGCTCTCAGGAGATATTGGATCCCAAGGGCCTGGAGGATCAAATGCAGGCCTGGACAGACATGTGCACCCCCACTGAAACACAGCCTCTGGACCTGCTGGCCTACTTCAGCATTTTTGGAAGAGTTTGTGACATAAATTATTAATCAACTATATAATACAACTTAGTCTCTATATACTCTGGTTTTGACTAATGAATTAGGATTTTTTTCAACCCTTCCAGACACTGTTTTCTTTGGTACCCTTAACTATGCTATTTGTTATTTCAGACACCTCAGGGCTTCTCTTTTCCTGCATAACAAGCAAAAGCTAGATCAATCCAATGTAACAGAATATTATAAAATGAGACCAAAATAAATATACAAAATTGAGTCAAGATTCTTGATGATTTCCTTTGCCAAAATGTCATCTGTCCAGTTCATCTCTTTTTAATACACAATTAGAGCATTTCCCACTACCTTGCAATGAGCCAGTCTGCCTGAAACTGCAGGTAGCTTTTTTCTTGCACCTCAAGACATTCCCTACCAACCCCATTTTCCAACCACCAGGACGGGAAATCCCAATAGATTTAGATAACCATGGAACAGTCTTTGTGGCCACCACTGCAGTGAGCCCCCATGTTTCTGACGTGTCCCACACAGAGCAACGGCAGTGCCCATCCTGACCTCAGAGTTCAGCACACCGCGTGTGGCATGTGCAGACACAAACACAGCCATGGAAACACCAACAGCATTGTTACCCCCACCAAATTAGAGTGACCTATTTCTAACTCAATGCAAAAACTTGACTTTGGTCAGTGCTCTTTGACTTCTGCCCCATCACAGTCACTCACTGTTTCTCCTGTGGAGATACGCTGGAATACTCCATCAGCCCAGGAGATGTTTTTCCCTAGCTGTTAAAGATTTTCTTTCTAACAACTTTAGTAAGATTATGAAGGAACAGTGTCCTGTAGAAGACATACAATGACCACATCAAAATCACATTTGTAAACAACTACTATGACGCAAGTGTTGAATTTTAAATTCAACAAAGAACTTCAATAATTCCAACAAGTGAATAACCTGCTCTCCAGTCAAACAGAACTTCAACATCTACTTTTGCACAGAATACTGGAGCTCATGCTGCTATGGTACTGCAACCTTATGAAAGAAGACAAGCTGAGGAACAAAACTGCAAAAAAACCCGATTAACCCTCAAATTTCATTCCAAAGGAAAACTGAAAATGCCTGATCAATAGCCAAAACCTGAGTTTGGATCACTTACTCTGTACTTTATAGGTGGGGAACAAGCCAGCTTTCACACGTTATATGTAGAATTAAATAAAAAAGCATGTTTCCTTGTAAATTCAGACCCCCTACAAATCACAAAGCAAAACAGGATGTTTATCTCTCCTGTTTTTTGAGCTTGGAAGGAAAGGAAGGAGGACAGAAAGCAAAAGCTATAGGAACTATCAAAGAAATTCCTGAAAATTTAAGCTATATTAAAAGCAACTCAAAATTAATTGATTAAAATCAAATGCCACTGTGAAAAAAGAAAATGTAGTAATATATTAAATAAATTGGTATAAGCAACAAAATTTAAATTATTTGGTAATCTAATAAGCCATAAACTAGCCAGTGAAACTATATACAGCTAAACAAAAACACAGGGAAAAACCACTCTTTAAATACAAATCAAAACCAAACACTTGCATTAAAAAGATTGTGGACCACTTCCACATTGGACTTGACCATATTTTTCCTTTTTAAAAACAAGCAAGTAACTTGTCTTGCTGTGACACTGCCAAATCCCAGCTAGCAGAGAGGCGTGAAGACGGTGATAGAGCAACAGTGCTCCAGGGTGTATCCTGCACACTCCTGCACCGCACCTGGTGGTACTGTCTGACAAGAGCCTTCTCTTCCCTCATTGCCCAGCTCCGTGTCCCCAGTGCCAGGACCAGCAGGCAGCCAATGGCCAGAGCCCTCCTTACCACAGGACACCCAGAGCAGCCCCCACACAGGCCCTACAGCACCATAAACCATGGGATGGACCCAACCTGGCACCTGTGTCCCAGGAGCCTTCTGAGAAACCCAGCGGAGCGTGCCTGTCTGCAGCCTGCTGTGCTTAGCGCACCAGTCTCAAAATTACAGTGGCAGAAACCATAGCATCTCAGAAAATAAAGAAAACTTCATATGAAAATACAGATAACTCTGTGCAAACTAAGTAACAGGGAAAAGATTTTTATTTCATTTTTAGTAGTATCTAGTTTCTGTACACTGTGCACAGAACACACTGAATTGAGCTTTATCATAATCATCCTTCAACAATTCACCCAGTAATATCTATAAACACAGGGAGACAGCTACCTTTTTAAAAGTTCTGGACATACAATGCTGCAATAAAAAGTGAAGCAGACATACAGAAGGATCAGCTACAGAGTGAACTAGTAAGAGCAGCAGAAAAGAGAAAAGCAAGGTATTTTTCATGTTCTAACACATACTGCCATTCAGAAGTCTCTAAACAGGAAGCACTCAGTTCTACAAGGCATCACAGATGGGATCTGTATACAATTACTCTCTATTAGAATTTTTTAAGAAAGGAAAAAAGAAAAAGCAACCAACACCCTCTGTAAAGATTAACAGCAAACCATACCACGTGTGACAATTTGGGGGCTGTTTCTTTCCTCAGTCTGATTTTGCAAACCCTATACTCTTCAGTACATGCTGTAATTGCCACGCAATATTGCATCACCATTTCTGTGTCTGTGGCAGACACAGGGAGGAGGGTGTGGCATGGAAGCACCTACCTTAATTCAGTAAGGCTCAGCTAAAAGAAGTACCTGTACTTTGATGTGTCTTCACCTACCAAGTCTTTCTGTGATAACTATTCCAATTCAAATTCAAGACCTATTTTATCCACAGTATTCTTCCTGCATAACTTAACAATAGTAGGGTGCAGACCATCAGAATAACCAAACCTAATTAAGGAGACCTACAAATACAGACTGCCCTACAGGAGACTGACCCGTGACACAGAAAGCCCCTCTGCAGGAAGTCGGGACAAGATGACATACTCTGACTACTTTTATAAAGAT